ACATGAACTTGGGTCCGTCTCTAAACCAGGCTGTATGTGTGTTGTGTTATTATGTTTCACCCAAAAAAGTAACTGTGGCCATGTCAAGGCTTAACCCAACTGACCCAAAGTTTCAAGACACCCAGATTGTGAGATTGATGGTTTAGTTGTTAAGTTGTGTCCAATTCTTTGCGACCTTGTGGACTCTAGCCAGCCAGGCTCCTCTGTCCATGGGATTTCCCAGGCAAGAATACTGGAGTGGGTTGCCACTTCCTTCTCCAGCGGATCTTTCTGACCCAGAGATCAAACCCTGGTCTGCTGCATTGCAGGCGGATTCTTTATATATACATATATGACTTAATAAAACAAATTAGTTTTAATTGGTAGGGAACACAGAAGTACAAAGGATAGAATAAAAACAGAGAGGCATGCATTTGGAGACAAAGACCAGGAGACAGAAACTCAGAAGCAAGGCCAGTGAGTACAGAGAGAGAGAAGCAGATTCACAGAGACAAAGCAAAAGCAAGAGAGAGATTGACAGAACCACAGGGTTTCCCTCCCTTAGCCAGGAAGCTCCTGGGGCAGCGATTTTGTCTGTGTTCTTATTACTGTACCCTTAATGCTTACAGCAGTATCTGACACTCAGTAGGTACTCAATAGATGGATTGTTTAGTCAGTAAGTCGAGTCTGACTCTTTTGCGACCCCATGGACTCTAGCCCACCAGGCTCCTCTGTCCATGGGATGTCCTAGGCAAGAGTGGGGTGGGTTGCCATTTCCTTCCCCAGGGGATCTTCCTGACCCAGGGATCAAACTCTCATCTCCTGCATTGCAGGCAGGTTCTTTCCCTGGTGGCTGAGAATCCACCTGCAATGCAGGAGACCCAGGTTCCATCCCTGGACGATCCTCTGGAGAAGGGCATGGTTACCCACTCCAGTATTCTTGCCAGGAGAATTCCATGGATAGAGGAACCTGGTGGGCTACAGAGCATGGGATTACAAAGAGTCGGACACGACTGAGCAGCTAACACTTTCTTTTTCCTTTACCGTCTGAGCCACCGGGGAAGCCCAACAGATGAACATTATACTGGAAATGAGTTTGGGTAAACTCTGGGAGTTGCTGATGGACAGGGAGGCCTGGCGTGCTGCAGTCCACGGGGTCTGCACCACTGAGCGACTGAACGGAACTGAGACGGGAAAAATAGAGAGCCTGCAGTTCCCCCCAGATACCACCAGGTGGCAGGATCCCAAGGCCCTAAAGCCTCCTAAAGTGTAAATCCAGAAGACAGCGGTAGGAGGATTTGAGGCCACAGGCCTCAGACTTGCAGGACGTCTTCCCCTCGGGCTGAGCCCCGCCTTTCCCTGCACGAGCCCTGGGCGACGAGTGACCTTTCCGTCTGAGACAGCCTCTTCACCCGCTCCGCCACCCTGCCGAGTTAAACACCTCTTTGTCTTGGCCCCTTCCGGCTGGGCCCCAAGGCATGTGGGTCCTTTCCAGGCCCGGAGATGGGGCTGGGATGAAGGTGGGGCAGCTGGGAGGAGGCCAAGTGAAAGTCCTAAGGATTTGTAAATAAGTTCTAGTCTTCCTGGACCAGCACTGTGGGATTCAGGCCCCCTCCTCCCTCAGACCCGGGATCCAGGACCCCAGCCCCCTCTTCCCTCAGACCCAGGGGTCCAGACCCCCAGCCCCTCCTCCCCTCAAAGTCCCAGGCCGCTGCCCCACCCCCTCCTCCCTGCAGAGACCTCTCTGGTGCTCCCCCTCCCTCTCTTTTCAGAGACCCCTCTCCCCCTGCACTCCCCGCTCCAGGCTCGAGAACCAGGCTGAGTCACAGGAAGCGCCGGGGCCCTGAGTCACCAACCCCCTCTCTGGGCTGCAGGGAGCTGGCTCTGAAGCCGCGTGTCCTAGCAGCTGACCCCCCCCCCCCCCCCCCCCCCCCCCCCCCCCCCCCCCCCCCCCCCCNGGGGATTCTCTGGAGGTTCAGTGGTTAGGACTCTGCGCTTTCCCTGTTGAGGACCTGGGTTCAATCCCTGGTTGGGGAACTAATATCCTGCAAGTCACGTGGCACAACCAAAAAAGAAAAAGAGAGACAGATACCGGAAGACAGACATACAGACAGTGAGAACACGGATGAGGGGCATGGAAGCAGAAAGACAAGGACAGGGAGAGACAGTGAAATAGAAAAGCAGAGGGATCATCAGATATCACCTATATATGGAGTCTTAAAAAAATGTTACAAATAAACTTACTTACAAAACAGATATAGAGTCAGAGACACAGAAAACGAACTTATGGTTACCAAGGTAAAAGGAAAGTGAAGTTGCTCCAACTCTTAGCGACCCCATGGACTGTATGTAGCCTACCAGGCTCCTCCTTCCATGGGATTTTCCAGGCAAGAATACTGGAGTGGGCTGCCATTTTTTTTCTGCAGGGGACCTTCCCCACCCAGGGATTGAACTCTGTCTCCCGCATTGCAGGCAAAAGGGGGTGGGATAAATTGGGAATTTGAGATTAAAGGATACCCAATACAATATAAAAAATAGAGAAACAAAAAGGACCTACTGTATTGCATAAGGAACTATATTCAATATCTTGTAATAACCTATCATGGAAAAGAATCTGAAAGGAAATATATATTTACACACACACATACACATATATAACTGATTACTTGCTGTACACCAGAATCATTGTAAATCAACTATACTTCGTAAAAGTTTTAAAAAGCAGTGGGATGCAGAGACAGAGATGCTGAGAGACACAGAAACACAAAGAAGCAGAGAGAGAGAGAGAGAAACGGAACCACACAAATGCAGAGTCAGAGGTATTTTGAGAGAGAGAGAGCCGGAAGAGACAGAGGGGCTTAAAACAGAGGAAAACAGAGGCCGAGAAAGACAGCCGGAGACGGAGATGAAGACGAACCCGGAGGCTTCCAGAGTGGGAGAGACAAGAGGAGCCAGAGGAGAGGCCCCGGGAAGCCGAGGGGGAGGAGAGGAGAGATGGGGGGCTGCAGTCTTGGGATCGCCCAGAGGCGGCAGCGTCTCCTCCGCGCCTGCACGCGCGTGCGTCTCCAGCACTCTCCCGCCGCGTCTCAGCCTCGCGTCCTGAGCGGGAATCACCCGCGCGGCATGGGGCAGGGCCCCAGCCTAGGTTGTGTTTCTGTCGCCGGGCGTGTCTGTGTGTGCGGTTCGGTGTCTCTGGGCGTGTCTGTGTGGGTTGCGTTGGTGTGATGCCAGGCATGTCTGTGTGCGTCTCATTGCCCTGTGGCTGGCGGGTCCGTGTTCTGCTTGACATGTGACTCCGGGGAAGGGAGAGGGGTCCCTCTGAGTCCCTCCTCCCCACCCGGAATGGTGTCCAGGGGTCCACGGGCCACACCTGGAGAGGGGTTTTGTGTCACCCCGCCAGCAAGTCCTCGTGCGTTGCTGCGGGAGGCTTTTGATCTGTGTCCGGCTGTATACAGTAGAGACCCGTGCATGACTTCTGTGCAGCTGCATGTGGTCACGTGACACACGCCATGTGGCTGTCACTCTGGGAGTCACCACGCGTCACCCTGCGTTGCATTTGCTATTCTGTACGTCAGCGCACGTGCTGTGTCTGTTTATAGGTTTTGTGTGTCTCAGTGATGTGACACTGTGCTCTTCTTCAAGGTGTAAATCCATGTTGCAGGCCTCTCTTTCCCTGCCAAGAACACAGCCTGGGGATCCACACTCAGAGTGTTGTGACTGTGTGGCTGTGTATTACACTGTACCAGAGGGTGTCCCCCTGGTGCTGTGTGGGTGTTGCTACCGGCCTAGGTGACGGATGTGTCAGTCGGCCACGTCCGCCAGTCCATGGGACACGGTGTCTGTGCTGGGCAGTACTCTATCAGTGTCTTTGTGGATTATTCTGTATGTGTGGTGTTTGTGTGGCCACTGGTGTTGGGTGTATCATGTGCTGGGCGATGCGCGGGTGTGGTATGTGGTGTCTGCCAGCCTGAGGCAATGGTAGGTGTTCTGTCCGTGGACGTGGCTCTTGGGCACCAGGGCCTATGTAGCCTGTGTGCCCGGCCTCCCTCCCCCAGGTACCATTCTGTTGTGTCCTGTGTGATGCACCAAGATAGATCAGGATGTCTTGTAGGGCAGCTGCCAGCTGGGTTTCTGTGTGTGTCACTGTGCCTGTAGGTCCTTTCCTAACGCAGCCATCCGTACTGCTCTCTGGCTGTATATTTGAATGGCAGTGTGTACTTGGGTTATACTGTGTGTTGAGGTGAATCCGTGTGTGTTGTGAATCATTCTATGAGCGTGTATGTTGGAGTCACCACATGCCATGATGTACGTCACTGTGTGTTTCTGTGCTAGGTGAATGGTGACTGCCATGGGTGTGTCCCTAAGTGCTGTGTGTCCGCATGTATTGGGTACTGTTCCACGGGTGATGGCTGAGTGCCTTGTTCACACAGATATGCTGTGCGTGGCACTTGGGGATTGCTAAATCAATACAGATTGTGTGTTTGTGGAACACTTGTATAGGTCGTGTTTGTGTAGCTATGGACAGGCATCACCCCGTGTGCTGTGTCTGGGTGTGGCTGTTGGTGTCAGACAATGTTGTGCCAATTTTGATTGTGATGTCTGTGCTTGTGTGTGGACAATATTTGGGTGGCCCTGTGCGCCACGGGGTCCTGCCTGCTCGCTAAGTGCCGGCGTGTGTCACACCGTGTGTGTGTGGTGTCTGGGTGTGGCTGTGGGTTTCAGAGCTTGTCGGGAGTTGTGAGTCACTCGGTGTCAGTAGCGTTGTGTGCCCATGGGTGTTAGGTTCCGTCTCTGGCCATGCCATGTTTCAGGGTGTAATCACTGCGTGCTGCGTGGTGTCCGGGTGTGGCCCAGTGTAGGTGCGTATTATGCGCTGCAGACCGTTGTGTGTGACAAAGCCCATTGTGTGTTGGTGTGTGTGTGTGTGTCTTAATCCACGTGGACGCACGCCTCTTCCTTGCTCTGCCCTAAGACACACCCCCGCCCCTCCTTAGTCTGAGAAGGGGGGCACGTGGTGTCCGGGTGTGGCCCAGTGTAGGTGCGTATTATGCGCTGCAGACCGTTGTGTGTGACAAAGCCCATTGTGTGTTGGTGTGTGTGTGTGTCTTAATCCACGTGGACGCACGCCTCTTCCTTGCTCTGCCCTAAGACACACCCCCGCCCCTCCTTAGTCTGAGAAGGGGGGCTGGGGAGCCTCCCCTCTGCCCGGGGGCCTCCTCAGCACCTCCCCGCCCTGCCCAACAGTCACCACCTCCCAGAGGGCACAGACTCTGCTGTACCTCAAAGCACAAGCCCAGAGCAGGAGCAGAGCAGGCCGGGGACCTCAAGCCACTGTGGCTGCCCTTTGTGTGCTGCGAGGTGGGGGACCCTGGGCAGGAAGCTGGCTGGGCCCCAAGACCCAGGGAGCCATGGGCGGGGAGCTGGTGCCGGGCCTGGGGGCCCTGCGGCGGCGAAAGCGCCTGCTGGAGCAGGAGAAGAGTCTGGCCAGCTGGACGCTGGCACTGGCAGGAACTGGCATTGGACTCATGGTCCTGCACGCGGAGATGCTGTGGTTCGGGGGGTGCCCGGTGAGTGGAGGGTAGAGGCAGAGACTTCTAGTCTTGAAGGAGGAGGGGCTGGGGGCCAGGACTCCTGGGTCTGAGGGAAGAGGAGGGGCTGGGGGCTGAGACTCCAGGGTCAGAGGGAGGTGGGGCCGGGGACCCCCGGGTCTGAGTGGAGGAGGTTGAGTGCCGGACTCCTGGGCTGCAGGGAGGGAAATGGTAGGGGGCCCCCTCTGCAAAAGGAAGGGAAGAGGGGTCACAGGGTGTCAATTTGAAGATACTGCAGTCAGACAGTTGGAGGTCCAAGGGGTGGCTGGTCAGATACTGGAGTCTCCCATGAGCAGATTAGGGGAGGGGTAGCCCCAGGTTCAGTGAAGGGAGGGTGAGGAGAAAGGCTGACTTCTTCCAGTAGGCGGAGGCTCCTTAGTCCTTATCTGAACTCGAATGTTTGCCCAGTATCTCAGAGGCAAAGGGCAGAGACGGAAAAAACTGGCTGAGGTTGGGGGCGCTGTGGGGGGGTGGTGAGGGTGGAAGAAGCACCGCTCCCCCTCCCCCCCCGCCAATTCCATCCCCATTATCAAGAAGCTCAGCTTCCTCAGAATCTATTTAGTCTGAGAAATAAGGGAGAGGTTTTCTCGTAGGCTGGACTCCTGGGTCCCGGGTAGGAGAGGCTGGGGGCCTGGGCTCCTGGGTTTGAAGGGGAGGGCGCCTTAGAGCATGTGTAGGGGAAGAGGGGCTGACTTCGAGGATAGTGTGAGTGGGGAAGGAAAGAACAGGTGGGGCCCCGACAGGTTTGAGCAGGCTTCCAGCACATTCCAGCCCAGGTCCAGGCTGTGATGGGGGCAGATGAAGGCCATGGGTCAGAACTGGCAGCTGGAGGACGGGACAGAATTGCTCAACAGGAAAGGAGGGGCTGCAGATCTGTCTGGGGCAAGGGGCGTGGAACTGGGCTCGTTGGGGGGCCCTGGATTTGAGGGTTGAGGTGGGGGCATTCCTGGGGACAAGGCTCAGGCTTGGCTTTGGGAGAGGCAGGCAGCTTTGAAGGGCCCAGGAGCCCCACCGAGGGTCGGGGCAGGCTGGCTTCCTCTGGCTGGATGAGGGCAGCGGGCACTGAGGGGGTGGGGCCGCCGAAGCCCAGGCCAACAGGAAGCATGGCCAGGCTGACCCGCCGCTCCCAGGCTTCAGCACCCCGCCCAGCAGGGGAGGTGAGGCTAAGGGGGCAGATGCAATGGGTCGGGGGTCTTTCCTTCACCACCCAGTCCCTCGGCCCTCTCACCTCCCCTGCTTCCCTCCACTGCCCACCAGGCTGCTGCCTCCAGCAGGGCGACTCTGGCCTCTGCTGAAGCTCTCTGGGCCCGTTTCCTCAACTGGCAACTGGGGGTGAGGGTTGAAATAGATGACCCGAAGGGTCCTCCTCAGCCCCTTTTCTATGACCGCCTTGACAATACCCATGTCCCCTCCCCACCTCCATCACAATCCATCACAATCTAATGAATTCATTCTGCAGGGACCCAGACACCTGCTTGTAGCAGGGAGGGGCTGGAGGAGAGGCCGGGGCCAGACCCCACTGGGACAGGGGCGCTTGAGGGATGCAGCCGGGCAGGAGAGGGAGGATGGTGAGGGGCACAGAGAGGCTACCCAGGTGGTGCTAGTGGTAAAGAACCCGCCTGCCAGTGCAGGAGACATAAGAGATGCTGTTTTGATCCCTGGGCTGGGAAGATCCCCTGGTGGCGATCCACTCCAGTATTCTTGCCTGGAGAATCCCATGGACAGAGGAGCCTGGCAGGCTACAGTCCAGAGAGTCGCAAAGAGTTGGACACGACTGAAGCGACTCACACAAACACATAGAGGCAGAGATTTACAGAGAGACGAAGACAGAGACCAAGACAACGATGCAGTAAGAGACAAGAGTGCTACAGGCAGAGAAGGGGGTGCAGGATTCGGGGCAAAAGGAATTGCAAAGCAGAGAGGACCACCAGAGAAGTGGACGACAGAGCTGTGGAGGGCTGGGTCAGGTGGGGTGCAGGTTGAAACAAACTAAAGAAACGGACAGGGAATTGGGGAGCCATAGAAGGATGAGGGGTTGGGAGAGGGCTAGGGACAACAGCACCATTGTTTGGGGAGGGTTGGGGGGGCAGGCCCCCCGGGGCAGGAAACTGGCCCTTTTCCCCTGCACAGAGGCGGGGCCCGGGCCAGGCTGGCGGGGAGAGCTGGCAGCGTTCTAGAAGAAACAGGTGCTGAACTCAATGCGGGTGCCCAGGTGGCCCTTTCCCCCGACACCACCTTCCAGGCAGACACCCCCTCCCGGCCCTTCCCAGGGAATCCAGCAGTCCCATTCCCCTCTAAATCTCTCCCTTAAGAATTCTAGATTCCTCCAAGGTATAGACGCATAGAGAGGGAAAAAAAAACTTTCCGTGGTTTCTGGAGGCCATGTGCTTCCGGCCAGATCTGCCCGGGCTTGGAGCCAGGAGAGAGGGCAGGAGGCAGTGGGGGGGGGGGAAGGGACATGCAGGGCAGGACTAGAGGCCTTTCTCAGAGCTGGGGCTGGGGGTCTCAGGGACCCAGCTCCTGAATGAAGGCAGGGGAGGGTGTCATTCATTCCTTGGGGATTGAGTGACGGTTTCTAGGCTCCTTAGGAATTGGGTTGCTGGGGTAGGGGGAGACTTGAAGTTGTTTCTAGGGCAGAGACCAGCTGGGGAGGAAGGGAAGAGGAGGGACACTCTTTAGAGGATAAATGTCTGTTTCTAGACACCCCTCCACCAACTGAGAACTATTTTTGATGGGGACTGGTACGTACGCAGCAGTTAGGAAGGAATGTGTGTTTTGAACTCTTCTCTCAGGGGTGTGGTCTTAGGAGAGGCAGAGGATGGTGAACCCTGCATCTGGGCCAGGGCTGTCCCCTTAGGAAGAAAGAGGGTGCTCTCCTTGGGGACCCGATGACAGTTTTGAGGCTTCCCCAGACCTGGAGGCATCAGGAGACGGCTGGACTGGGGGTGGGGTTAGGAGGCTAGGAATCAATGGGAAGGGAGAAGGGATGGCAGTTTGGGAGGAGGGTAGAGGGGACAGAGCAGGTGGAGACCTAGGATCTCACCCCTTTCTCTCTCCCTCCCAACAGTGGGCGCTCTATCTGTTCCTGGTTAAATGCATGATCAGCATTTCCACGTTCCTGCTCCTGTCTCTCATCGTGGCCTTTCACGCCAAAGAGGTCCAGGTAGGGCAGGCCCCGCCCCCAGCCCCTTCTGGCTCCCCTCAGCCCCACCCCCACCCCCCTGTCAGCTCACACTTTCCGGCCTGCTGGGCTGAGTAATGAGCTTCCTCCACCCTGAGATGCATCCACACCCTTATCTACCCCGCGGGGATGAACCGTGGACAACAGACAGAGCCTCCCTGAGCAGCCCCGACCTTCCTCCACCTGCTGCCCTCTGACTCACCTGTAGGTGCTGAGAGTTCCCGCCCCCAGGCCTCCCTGTCCACTCTAGCTCCAGGCTGCCTCACACCAGGCCCAGCTTCCCAGATCTCCCTTCTTCAACCCTTGGGCCCCCACCTATTCCGGTCCCAACAACTCAGATCCTAGTTATGTGCCTGAAGTCCTTCGGCATGCCTGAGCTCCCCACCTCTGTGCCAATGACCCCCAGATCCAGGCACCCTGCATCCCACCCACATCCCCCCCTGCCATCGCATGTCTCAATCCACACTGGGCTCCCCACCCCTTCCCCTCTCCTCCCATCTTCCACACCCCCAGATCCTGTGCCCTTCCCCCACCACCTTGACGTATAAAATGAGGGTTATTGGCCAAGTGTGGTATGCCCTTTGCAGAGGCTGGCATACAAGACATGCTCAGTAAGAAGTACACCTTATCATTCATAGCAGTCATTCAAGTAGTTAATCGGCCTGATTTCGTAGCCCAGCTGCCCCTGAGCGCCCTGGGCCTCAGTTTCCACATCTATTAAAATGGGGGTAAGAATACCTTCAATCTCACTGTTTTGTGAGCATTCCAGGAGTCACAACACACAAAGAGGATAGTGCAATGCCTTGCACCCCCCAGGTGCCCCGCACATGTTGGCTATTGTCATTGTAATGGGATGATGCCAGTTACACTACCGGGTCCCCAGAGACAGGAGTAAGGCCTGGCTCCATGGATGTGGAATGTAGGCTCCAGGAAGGAAGGCTTTTTTGTCTTGTTCACCCATATCCTCAACATATCTCAACGTCGGGCACACAGTAGGCACTCAATAAGTGTTCCTGGGCTGGAGGTTCTGAAAGTAGGCTGCACGGGACACGGGAGAGAAGGCGGAGAGCTGTCTTCCTCGGGTCCTGCCGTGTGCCTTCCCCACCCTCCCCGGCCCCAGGCCCTACGCTATCTGTCTCCCTCTGCGGCCCCGCGGGCGCTCCCCCCTTATCTCCCCACGCAGGCTGGGGAGCCGGCACCTGACCTTCGCGTGATTCGCTCCTTCTCCATCCGCCCCCGTCCCCGCAGCTGTTCATGACGGACAACGGGCTCCGGGACTGGCGCGTGGCGCTGACCGGGCGGCAGGTGGCGCAGATCGTGCTGGAGCTGGTGGTGTGCGGGTTGCACCCGCCGCCGGTGCCGGGCCCGCCGTGCGTGCTGAGCTCGGGGTTCCCGAAGACCACGGCCACGCAGTCCTGGCCCAGCTTCCTGGACCAGGGGGAGGCGCTGCTGTCGCTGGCCATGCTGCTGCGCCTGTACCTGGTGCCCCGCGCCCTGCTCCTGCGCAGCGGCGTCCTGCTCAACGCCTCCTACCGCAGCATCGGCGCGCTCAACCAGGTCCGCTTCCGCCACTGGTTCGTGGCCAAGCTGTACATGAACACGCACCCCGGCCGCCTGCTGCTCTGCCTCACGCTTGGCCTCTGGCTCACCACCGCCTGGGTGCTGTCGGTAGCCGAGAGGTGAGGGTGCCAGGGCAAGAGGGGATGGAGGGTACCTGGAGCCTCTGGAGGAGCCGCTTACAACTATGCTTGCCCTGCACGGTGGTGCAGATTGGGGCTCCCCAGGACCAAGCAGTGGAGAAAACTATCTGTCCACACTCTTCTGCGGCCGGGTGGGAAGAACCAACAGACCAGCCCCAAAGCCTTTCCTCCACCTGCAGCCTCCAGTCCCCCCCCCCCTCAACTGCCACCCCCCAACACACATATACCCTAGGAAGCCCCGCCCTTCCTGCCTCAAATCTTCTCCTGCCTCTGGTGTCCAGGTATAATGCAGGCACTGGGGCCTAGCCAAGGGTTGCACCTACTTTGAAGGAAGGAGATGTTCTGTTTTTCCAAATTAGCACAGATGCACTGGTAGGTGCTCCTAACGGCCTCAGGGCTGCCCTGGAAGAAATTCCCAGCTGCCTGCTGGACTCTGGCCTGATGCTGGAACTGTACCCCATCAGGGCCTCCACTTAGCTTTGTTGTTGTTTAGTCACCAAGTCCTGTCCGACTCTTTGCAACCCCATGGCCTGTAGCCTGCCAGCCTCCTCTGTCCCTGGGATTTCCCAGGCAAGAATACTAGAGTAGGTTGCCATTTCCTTCTCCAGGGATCTTCCCAATCCAGAAATCTAACCCACGTCTCCTGCATTAGCAGATGGATTCTTTACCACTGAGCCACCAGGGAAGCCCCATTTATCTTACAGATAAAAGAAATTGGGGGTAATCTTAGCCAGTGGTTCTGGGACCAGCAGCATCTCCTGAATTCAGCTCAGTTCAATTGCTCAGTTGTGTCCGACTCTTTGCAACCCCATGGACTCAAGCATGCCAGGCCTCCCTGTCCATCACCAGCTCCTGGAGTTTACTCAAACTCATGTCCATTGAGTCGATGATGCCATCCAACCATCTCATCCTCTATTGTCCCCTTCTCCTCCTGCCTTCATCTTTCCCAGCATCAGGGTCTTTTCCAATGAGTCAGTTCTTTGCATCAGGTGGCCAAAATACTGGAGCTTCAGCATCAGTCCTTCTGATGAATATTCAGGACTGATTTCTTTAGGATGGACTGGTTGGATCTCCTTGCAGTCCAAGGGACTCTCAAGGGTCTTCTCCAACACCACAGTTCAAAGCATCAATTCTTCGGCACTCAGCCTTCTTTATAGTCCAACTCTCACATCCATACATGACTACTGAAAAAACCATAGCTTTAACTAGACGGACCTTTGCTGGCAAAATAATGTCTCTGCTTTTTAATATGCTGTCTATCTCCTGGGAACTGGTTGCAAATCCAAATTCGCAGGCCCCACCCGTATCTATGGAATCCAAGACGCTGATGGGTGGGACCCAGCAATCTGTTTTTAACAGTTGATTCTGATGCTGGCTCGAGTTTGGGAACCTCTAGTTTAGTACATGGGTCAAAGGATTCTTGAGGGGAGGTGGAGAATGGGACCATCTGCCCTGAGATCTCTCCTCTCTGAGCCACTGAGAGGCGAAATCCACAAACTTGAATGTGCTTTGGGATGAAGGGGGTGGGGCTTAACTGTACAGATTCAATCCCCACCTCCGGACACTAACTTAGTGATTTTGAGGTGTCTGGGACCCTGGTGAATGATGCTTTCTTTGCTCTGGCCTAACTATGGGTCAGAGTTAGACACATCCTGGTTTTCAGTCGTTTCTATGACTGGACCTAAATATCCCCTTCCATGAAGTGTAGGGAAAGAAGAGAGTCCCCCCACCCAAGCCTTTTTAGAGTTCCACCTTTTTAGTCCTGATAGAGCCACTTTTAGGCCATATAGAATCTTTGTGGAAATCAGAAAACCCACCCTTTCTCTGGGTGGAGGCAGTCCCCTGCCAGGGACTGACAAGTGAACTTCAGGCTAGGTTTCTTCCCCCTTTAAACCCCTCAACCACATTAAATGCAGCAGCCCTGGTAGCCTAGCTGAAACCAAATCGGCTTTGGAATTGACAGGATCCAGGTTCAAAGCCCACAGCCCACAGTGGTTGAGCATCTTGTCTAGGTCACACAGCAAAGAGGAGGCCAGGCAGGCTTACCAGAGCCAGGCAAGCTTTGAGTGCTTTTTTTTTTGAGTGTGGGTGTGTGCTAAGAAAGAGGGTATCAAACACCACAGGAACCCCAGAACTAACCCTCTCTTCCCCTGTAGGCAGGCTGTTAATGCCACCGGGCACCTTTCGGACACACTGTGGCTGATCCCCATCACATTCCTGACCATTGGCTATGGCGATGTGGTGCCAGGTACCATGTGGGGCAAGATTGTCTGCCTCTGCACTGGTGTCATGGTGAGTACATCCAGTCAGGGACTCCTGTATTGCACACTGCTCATCCTCGGGCCCCAGGAAACCATGGAGCCAACTGAGGCACTCAGGGACACCCCAAGAAACTTGGGTGTCTGGACCCCCACTGCCTCATTCCCTGGCCATGTTGTTGTTTTTGTTGTTCAGATGCTAAGTCGTGCCCAAGTCTTTGCAACCCCATGGACTGTAGCATGCCAGGCTCTTCTGTCTCCCAGAGTTTGCTCAAATTCATGTCCATTGAGTTGGTGATGCTATCTGACCATCATCCTCTGCCGTCCCCTTTTCCTATCATCCACAGTCTCTCCTAGCATCAAGGTCTTTTCCAATGAATTGGCTCTTCCCATCCGGTGATCAAAGTATTGGAGCTTCAGCTTCAACAAGAGTCCTTCCAATGTATATTCAGAGTTGATTTCCTTTAGGATTGACTGGCTTGATCTTGCTGTCCAAGGGGACTCTTGAGTCTTCTCCAGCACCACAGTTCAAAAGCATCAATTCTTCGGCGCTCAGCCTTCTTAATGATCCAGCTCTCACATCTGTACATGACTGCTGGAAAAACCATAGCTCTGACTACACGGATCTTTGCTCAGAACACAGACACCAGCCCTATTTCCTTTGACAATCCCAGGAATCCATCCCCTAAAGTCCTAGCCCTCTCTGGAACCTACTACCCCAGACTTCATCCTCCTCAGGAACCTGCCAGCCCTTTTTCTCTTTTTCCTCCCAGAATTCAGGAACCCAGCCCTGAGTTCCCCCAAGGCTCAAGATCTTGCTATCTCCCCTCTTTACCCTCTCAATCATCCAGGACTCAGGGTACCTGGTTTCCCAGCTCCAGGTTCCTTCAGGACCCAGGGATCCAGTCTCCCTGTCTCAATTAAGGCTATTGCATATGGATATCAGGAGCATGCCTGTGGGCTTGGGCTGCTCGAGTTCAAATTCTGTTTCTGCCACTCCCTAGCTGGGAGTCGGCCATATAATTTTTCTGGGCCTCAGTTTCCTTGTCTAGAAAATGGGGGTGATGATACCAGTGTACTGCTCAAGGAGCTCCTGAGAAGGCTAAATGAATTAAACCATGTAAAGGGTCTCAAAAGGACTTCCCGGGTGGCTCAGTGGGTAAAGAATCTGCCTGCAATGCAGGAGACACAGAGACACCGGTTCGATCCCTGGGTCAGGAAGATCCCCTGGAGAAGGGCATGGCAACCCACTCCAGTATTCTTGCCTGAAGAATCCCATGGACAGGGGAGCCTGACAGGTTGCAAAGAGTTGGACATGACTGACGCAACTGAGCATAGCACTCAAAGGGTCTCGAGCACAGGAAATGCTCGGGAAATGGATCGGGGTGGCGATGGGGAAACTGTTATTGCAGCTGGTTCCGGGCATGTGGCTGTCTGCTGCCCTGGCTCCTGTGCCCTCAAGGATGAGACAGAGGGCTCCCTAAGCCCTAGACCCAAGCCTCTTCCCCAGAGTCGGCCTCCCTCTGAACCTAGACACCCACCCCCTTCCCTTCATAGACCCAGCACCCAATGCCTTGGCCTCCACCTCCTTTTGCGATCTGGCTCCCCTCAAGCTCAGGAATTCACGCCAACAGCCCCCAGCCTTGATTTGTCCCAGGAAGGACATGCTGAACCCCCAAGTCCTGGGTCCACAGGTGATGCATGGGTGGCAGGGAAATGCAGCTCACACACACACACACACACACACACACACACACTCACACACACAGTGGTGAGTCTTTGTGACTAGGAAAGAGGGGCAGGGATGCAGCCAGGGACACACTCCCAAAGGGTCAGGGGCCCTAAGGGCTGCCTGGGACCTCCTCCCTCATTTGACAAAGGGAGAACCTGAGAGAAGGTTCTCTCGTGGTGAGTTTTGCACTAGATTTGCACTAGCGTTCACAGCCCACTCCCGGCTGAGAGGCTCCAGGGTGCAATGAAATAATAACAGCTAACTTTTATTGGGTCCATACTCTGTGCCAGGCTCTGCTCTTAAGGTGCTAACTGACGGAATCCCTGGAGTAATTCTGTGAGGGCGTGCGCATTTCACAGATAAGAAGCTCAGGCACTGTGAGATTAGATAACTTGCTCCAAGCTGGGCTTGGAACCCAAGCAGTCCCTGTAGCTAATAAATTGTTCCAAGGGTCAAGAGCTGAAACATAATGGGATGGGGACAGACTTCAGATGATTCATTCTAACTCCAGGGACAGTGAGCCGGTGGTACAGGGCAGTCGGGATTTGATGGGGCCTTGAGGGCTCAGAGGCCTCGAGAAGGAAGGGATGAGAGTGGGGGTTTGGAACAGGTGCTTAGGCAGCTAAGGGATGAATTACCTGAGAGGGAGGCTGGGCAGAGAAGAAAGAGTGGCCTTAGCAGGCCCTGAGAGCTGGGCTGAGAAGTCTAGGGCCGTGTTAGCCCAGAAGGAGATTAGGCTGAGAGGGTCAGGGTCACAGCTGGGGCAGGGTGGGGTGATTTCCCTGGACCAGGAGGGAGAAAATGTGGCCCGAGCTGGGCAGCATCTGTAGAGGTGGGGAGGAGGGGGAAGAACACCCTTGGTGACCTGATGGCCGACTGGAGCATGGGGAGGCAAGGGTCCTGCAAGAGCCTGAGGTCTGCCCATCACCCAGAACCAGCCCTTCTCCCCCGTCTCCAATCACACCCTTAACAAAAGAGGACATGGTGAAGGTGTGAATACCACACCCAGGAGTTGCACTCAGATGTGTGATTTTGGTCTCAGCTCCACCTCTGGGAACTCTGGGACCCTGGTTCTCTCCCAGCGGGTCTGCTTGTCTGTCAACTAGGGGGGTGGTGCCTGCCAGCTATGGTTGTGGGGGTGTTCAAGGAGAGAGAGAGAGTTGGTGGCGCACGGCTGGCCCTCAGAGCCCCAGGGCCCCTGTGTCCTAACACCCGCTCTGCCCACAGGGGGTCTGCTGCACAGCCCTGCTGGTGGCCGTGGTGGCCCGGAAACTGGAGTTTAATAAGGCAGAAAAGCATGTGCACAACTTCATGATGGATATTCAGTATGCCAAAGAGGTGAGGGGGGCCTCCAGCACCCAGATCACACCCTCTCTCAGACCCAGGATTCCGTGCCCCCAGCCCCTCCTCCCTCAGACCCAGGAGTCCAAGCCCCCAGCCCCTCCTCCCAGAGCCCTAGCAGGGTCCATCTCCCCTGACACCGTGCCCCCCCACACCCAGATGAGGGAGTCGGCTGCTCGGGTGCTGCAGGAGTCCTGGCTGTTGTACAAACATACGCGCAGGAAGGAGTCTGGAGCTGCCCGCAAGCACCAGCGCAGGCTGCTGGCTGCCATCAACAGGTGAGGACCTCTGTGCATGCACACGCCGTGTGCAAGCCTGTCTGAGTCCACTCCTCTCTGCAGGGTATGTGTGTGTGTCCGTGTCTGAGTATGAACGCATCCCCAGGTCAGGATGCCCGCGTGTGGTCCCACTAAACAGATGCCCACCTGGACGTCACAGTGCCTCTGCGTGTGTGATGGTTTCGTTTGCATGTCTCAGAGTGCCTGCGGGTCTGGATTCCTGGGTCTCTATGTGGGAGGTGGGCTCATGGGTGCAGCCTCTCCCAGCCCTTCAGTTCTCCGGCGACTTTCCTCACTATACTCTATCTTTGTGAGTCTCTCCTCCCCTCCTCCCACCCCTGTGCGAGGGCTGCTCTGACCCCCACCCCCCACCGTTCTTTTTAACCCCCAGGTTCCGCCAGGTGCGGCTGAAACACAGAAAGCTCCGGGAGCAAGTGAACTCCATGGTGGACATCTCCAAGGTACTGGGATCCTGTGAGAGGGGGTCTAGGAGAAGAGGGAGGTAGGGGGTGGCTGGTAAGGAGCTCTGGGCCTGGAATCGGGGACGCTGGCACACATGGGGACTCAAGAAAGTTCTTGTGGTTGAAGGAACAAACAAATGAATAAGTGAATGGTGCAATAGAACTTCTCGTGAAAGGTACAGCTTCCTTTGAAACTTAAGGAACTTGTGCAAAGAACTCCAGTGTTTGATGTGAACTTATTTCTATTGTCAAGTTCCCTACATGTGGATAGATATGAAATTCCTTTTAACTATGACTCTTACACAACCATAAAACCTAAGCAAATTGACAAATGAAGTTCAAACACAAAGGGCAAAGCAATAAAATGTGAATTAACAGCACCGATGCACAGACGAGTGACATTGTTCTGGGAAAACTCAATCTCTGCTGCTGTTGCAAAGGGGAGGAAGGTGGCCAGGAGTGCTGGGCAGGCTTGCCTGGTCAAGGGGTGACTCCGCTTACCCTCCTTCTGCTGGGTCTCCTTGATTCTGAAGTGCTCAGGGTCGGTGACGTCACACCCCACTGGGTTGGTTAGCAGCTCCTCTTGCTTATCCGGTAGCCTTTGCTTTTTTCTCATTAGTCCATGACAATTCAAACAGTGGTCCTGGGCCCCGATGCCATGGTAAACACAGCCGCAGGTGCCGGGCCCCTAAACTGCATGGCAGTGGCCTAGATCTGCCGGAATTGGCAGGTCTTGATTTCTAAGATTATCCACCTGGCCCAGAACACGGAAGTCAAGTTTTCATAGAAAGCTCCCACGCCCTGAAGGACAAAGCTGTGAATCCTAGTTTGAGGAGGCAGAGAAAGGGCTCTGTGGGTTTTGAAGTCAGGCGGCCATCAAGGCCACAATGATTTAAGTGAGCACCTACTACGTTCTCGGGTCACCCTGATCCGGGCCCTGCCTTGGGCATGTCAATTTATCTGCTCCAGGCCTGTTTCCTCAGCTGTTAAAAATGGAAACAGGATTCCCATTCCCACGCTTTTAGGAGGATTTTAAACTGCATATGAGGATCACGTGGCCCAGTCACTGGGCGGTGGAAGGTGGTTGATAAATGGTAACTGTTATTATTGAGGATAATCTCCTGGGCCTATAAGGACTTAGGAAATGCTGGTTCCGCCGCCTCACTCCACGGGGCAGGGAGGGAGTCTCCCCAGCCCCCTGATCCCTCTGACCTCTCTCTGCCCAGATGCACATGATCCTGTGTGACCTGCAGCTCCGACTGAGCAGCTCCCACCAGGCCCTGGAGAAGCAGATTGATGCGCTAGCAGGGAAGCTGGACACCCTGACCGAGCTGCTCAGTGTTGCCCTGGGGCCGCGGCAGCTTCCAGAACCAAGCCAGGAGGCCACGTAGCTGGTGAGGGGGCTGGGACTTGGGCAGGAGAAACTCCTGGAGGAAGGGTGCCTGTGACCAGCACCCCATGTGGCTCAGGGGGAGGGGGACGGGGGGGGCTGGAGTTGAGGCCACCCGATCTCTTCTGCTCTGGCTCTGCCTGCAGGGAGGGCCATCAGGTTTGGGGCTGGACCGCCCCCGCCCTCTTTCTTTGCTCGGGCTCTGTCTCTCCTCTTGTCTGGCCTGCCTTTCTATCCAACTCTCTGTTCGTCTCCCCAGGACCCATCCGGGAAGAACCAGGCTACTCTTCCCCAGGATTGAGGTCAAGGACATTCTCTCTGCTACTCCTGACCCAGCCACACATATAACCACCCCCCCTCCGCCCAAGTGTGAGGACTGCTGGGGGCCCCACCTTGGATGGTGGATGCTGATGGATGCTGGAGGGGATGCTGGATTAAGGAGGGAGGCCGTGGCCCACCCCCCACCAAGGCCCCAAATGGGAAAACGGTCACCCCTGCCGCACATACTCTCGACAAAAACATCCTCACTCTGCTGCTGTAGATGGCCACCAGCTTTCATTTGGACGTGGAGGTGTTTGGGGGCCGGGACTCCTGGGTCCCAGAGGAGGAGGAAGAGGATCAGGAGAAGGGGCACGGGGGCCCAGAGTCCAGGATCCTGGGCTGCCTCAGTGACCCGCTGGCCGGCAGAGCTGAAGGAACCAGGCCCGAGGCAGGGACGAGGCAGGAGGCAGCGCCCCCTGGCGGGAGAACGAGGAGGACACTGTTTCTCCAGAGCTGCAGAGAATTACCTGGTGGGAGAAGGTGCGAGGGGCCGGGGTGCAGCCCACCAGTCTCTGCTCTTATACTTTGCAATAAAGGTTAAACAAAGCCAGAAGAAGTTGCTGTTTCTTTCTAAGCACATCCACACTCCAAACAGGCAGGTCAGCCAGTGGAAGGCCCTTACCCTCTCTGAACCTGCTTGCGTGCTCAGTCGCTACAGGAGTGTTTGACTCTTTGCGACCCCATGGACTGTAGCCCGCCAGTTTCCTCTGTCCATGGGGATTCTCCAGGCAAGAATACTGGAGTGGATTGCCATGCTCTCCTCCCGGGGATCTTCCCGACCCAGGGATCAAACCTGAGTCTCCTGCATTACAGGCGGATTCTCTACCATCTGAGCCGCCGAGGAAGCCCGTCTGAACCAGCTTCTGCAACTATATGAGAGGCCTCCGAGGAGTATCCTCCAAGGTCTGTAGGCTGGGGAGTCCTCAGCACCGTCCCTACCCCTGCCCCAGCCCAGATCTAAGGCTAAGAGCAAGGGCTTTGAATTCAGGCAGATTGGGGTTCAAACCCTGGCTCTGCCATCCACTGGGGGTGTGACTTTGGGCAAGTGGCTTCACCTCTGAACATTTCACTTCACCTGAGAGATGGGGTCACCTTCCCACAGGATTGCTGTGAAGATTAAAACAGGGAGGGGCACAGAGGGTTGGGCATTTAGTAAGAATTCATGAGAGATAACTTAATCATTTTTATCAGTGCTATTGATTTTCAGACACAATCAATACATGGCTGCCCTTTTTCTTTTTTCTACTTCCCTCTGCTCCTCTCTACTCATAGCCCACCAGAACCCAGATGACACCTCATCCATCAGGAGAGTAACAGGAACCCCAAACCATCCCCTGTACTCATTTCTCGTATCTGCTAGGACTTGGCCGGGAAATGGGAAGGGGGCTGGGCTTATGGAGGTCCTCCCGTATGCCCGGCTCTGCGCTCCTGCGTTGTAAGTCACCACCACCTCTGCCCACCCCACCCCACCCCACTGTACAAATACAGAGACTGAAGTTTCGAGACGAGGAAGGCCTCAAGGGTCTGGCTTCACACCCAGCGCATCCTGAGACCGAGCCTTCCCTCTCAGTCTGGCTTGAGGTGAGTCAGAGACAGAACAGCCTTGGACCCTGAACCTGGGTCTCACTTCCCACAGCCGCTGTATTCCACTTTGAGAGGCTGATTCATCCCCGCTTCCCTTGACTTGTGGGGAAGCCCGGGCTGCGAGTCATCCTTTTCTGCTGAGCTATCTTTGGATTTCCCTGCAAGCCCGCAGCCAGCCCCACCCCTCAGCCCCCAGAGCTAAACTCGGGCCTGCACCACCCACTGCCCCTTCCTCTGGACACCAGCCCACCTGGGGGGCAGAGGAAACAGGAACACTTCCAACACCCTCCCCTTCAGTAAGCTCTCTTCAGTGCTGCCAGATCCCCTACTGGGACCATCCTTTCCTAGTTTTACTTGACTTCACTGGGCAAACTCCTTCCAACTCCTTTAGGCCCCAGCTTAAATGTCGCCTCCTCCAGGAAGCCCTCTCTGAAGCTCCCACAGCCCCCACTGTGAACCTGTCTTTATCACAGTAATATTTATCATGCAAAGTCCCACATTAAGTCCTTCATATAAATGATCTCACAAAATCTCTACAGAAGGAAGCAAGGTGGTATTACTGGTCCCATTATACAGATGAGGAATCTGAGGCACAGGGATTACGAACCCTGCCCGAACCCACAGCAAGGAGATGGTGAAGCTGGGATTTGACCCAGATGGCCTGGTTCTGAAGGCCCAGCACTTAGCCAGTCAGCTCATTCATTTAGGGATTATACCCTACTTTCATTTTTGCTGTCTATATTGTGTCTTCAGTGTCGTGGGCCTGCATATGCTAGGCTTCAGTGAGTTATCTCTGAGCGAACACACTGACTGCCCGGGGTGGCCGGAAGCGCTGCCCCTTCTACCACTTGTTTCTCCTGGGAAAATGTAGGAACTGGTGAGAAGGGGCTTTCTGCCTAAGGCACTAAGAGCACGGGAGAACACTGCTGTTCTGAATTCTCGGATCTGCCCCCGCCACCCTGCCACCACTAACTGTGGGGCACGGGTCCCGACGCCCCCCCTTCTAGCAGTCTTTGCTCACCCCCTCACACCATCACCACTTCCTCAACGCCCTGCACCGGGGTGGGGGCTGCAGGCATGAGTCAGAGGGCTCTGCTCCCCAGGGACTTGGCTCCACGGTGATTTTGGCAACTTCCCCCTCCTACTTCAGTTTTGCCTCCACGCCTGTAAGAGGACAGGGTGGGGGAAAGTGGGTCCAGAAAGGGCTGGGGGATTACTGGGGTTCGAGAGCCAGTCAGGGGGTTGGGGCCACCACCCAAGACATGACTGGGCCCTTCCCTTGTTCAAAACCCTGCCATGGTTCCCACCTGTATTTCTGTCAAAGTCCAGCTCCTAGGCCTAGCCCTGCAGCATATGGGGTCCTAGTCCCCCCACCAGGGATGGAACCTGTGCTCCCAGCAATGGAAGCGCAGATTCTCAACCACTGGACCGCCAGGGAAGTCCCCACTCATTTTTTCTTTGAGATTTATTTTACATAAATGACAGAAAGTTTAAATGCAACCTCAATAGATTTTTTTACAAATGCATTCACCCGAGCGAAAACCACTCAGCTCAAGCTTGAAGTTTCCATGACCCTAAAAACTCTCTCTTCCTTCCCATCTTGATTTTCTTTTGCCCAAATGTGAACTTTGAAAAGAAACCTGGACACCCTGATGTGTACCTGCTTCCAGCTATCAGCCAGGGGCACGTCCTTTTTCCCTACAAAATGGTGTTAATACACCCACAGGCCTCACCTGGGGGCTCTTCAGGCTGTGGCCCCATCCCTCCTCCAGGCTTCCTATACCCTCCCTGTCACAGAAGATAATGATTCTGCACCCAATTCCAGTGTTGTGGTTTGGGTTTTTCCCCCCCCCCCAAGCAATTCTCAAGACACCACAACTCAACTCAGTCCTGACATTTTCTACCTGGAACCAGCATCAGATTCCACAGGTTAAGAGTTGGGTCCTACAAGACTGCCCCCCACCCCTACCCCTTCAGATGCCAATTTCAAGTCCAGATTGTCACCTATGTGTCTGACCAACTGGTTACAGATCCAACAGCCCCTTCCTTGGGTTCAAAGAGTGACTCACAGAACTCAGAGACACATTTTATTTACTAGATTATAGGTTTATTATAAAAAGATGTAACTGGGGAACAGCCAGATGGAAGAGAGGCACAGGGCAAGGGATGGGGAAGGGGCGGGGAGTTTCCATGCCCTCTCTGGACACTGCTTTCCCCAAATCTCCAAGTGTTCACCAACCTGGAAGCTCTCCAAGCCCTGTCCTTTGGGGGTTATTACGGAGGCTTCATTACATAGCCACGACTGATTAAATCATCGAACTTTGGTGACTAATCCAACTCCAACCCTTCTCCCCTTCCTGTAGATCTGGAAGTTCTAAACCTCTAATCACCCCATTGGGGCCCTGGCACTCAGCCCCTATCCTTACCGAGGTGCTTTCCAAAGCCACCTCATTACAAAAGTCACCCTTATTACTCTCTTCACTGGAAGGTCCAAAGGTTTTAGGAGCTCTGTGCCAGACTCCAGGATAAAGACCAAATCCATATTTATTATAAACCCAGTATCACAGCTGCTCCAGCCACAGGGCTCCTCCTCCTTCCCAAGGATTGTCGAAACTGGTCATCTCTCCTGGACTCTCCTGTCCCCTTTTCCCCATCCACGTAGAACAGATATCACCAGTATTTTTCCAGTTCTTTATGAGGGCCCATGAAGGAAGCCATATCATCTACATCAATACCAGACTGCAGACTAAAGACTTGTTTATAGCTTTTCTGCTGTGTGAGACAGCTGCTAACATGTAAAAACCAGGAGAGTGTTTTTACAACTTGGAAGCAATGTCTTTTCTTTCTTCTACCAGAATGAACTGGCCCTTCTTCAAGTCCAGCCAAGGGTGTACCCTGGCTGCACCCTTTCTCACTTCCTCAAGGGCCAGAGTCCTAAGTTTCTTCCCTCATCCATTCTCCCTGCTATTGAAATAGAAGGGAAGGGGCAGGGGGCAACCTTTAAAAGAATGACACTGCCATAGGACATGACAAACTAGAACCAACCACATCCAAGATGGCTGAAGATTTGACTTCCAGTAGACTGGAGTCTCATTATGCGCTCATTATAATACATTAGCTAAATGACACACCCACCAGCCCCATGACAGTTTCAGGGCCAATGATAAAAGGTCAAAAAGTGGGCTGTGGTGCAATTCCTGGCAATCCCTGCTCCTTCCTAGAAACAGTTGGACTAATCCTCCCACTCACTTAGCCTACGAAATTACCCAGTCCATAAAAAACTCACAACCCCAAATTTCCAGGGCCTGTTGCCTTCTGAGACGGCCCACAGTCTGTCTGTGGGGTGTGTTTCTCTCTAGATAAATCCATTTCTTACCTGTCACTTTGTCTCTCACTGAATTCTTCCTGCAAGGGGACATCAAGAACCTGAGCTTCACTAAGTGCTGAGGCCAGGTGTGTGATCTCAATTAAAAGACCATGGGTTCGAGTTTCAGTCTGGGTTTGGCCAGGTGTGAGTCCTGGCCCGTGGGTTCAAGTTCCAATTTGAGTGGCATGGTTTCACTGCCCCTCCCAGCAGCACACAAACATGCTGTCTTTCCGCCCATCTTAAAACTGGCCCCCCAGCACTTTAAGCACTTTACATCATCCACTATCCTTAAAGCCCACCATGTATTCACCACACTGCAAAACAACTGGAATTCAACTTGAGTCTTCATTTTCCATATTGTAAAACAACCTGTATGTAGAAATCCTTTCAAAGTTCTAGTTCTTACAGAACAAGCTCCTGATACATTCAACAGCAGGGAAAACTCTCACAGACCAAAGAGCTAAAAGCAGAAAACACAGAAGACCAACTGTCAGATTTCTATCAAGTTTCATTTCTGTCAAGTTCAAGAGCAGCCACAACTCATCTGTAATGACTGGAATCAGATCAGAGGCTGTTTCTGAAGTGGGGGAGCTGACAGGAAAACAGTCCAATAGAAATCTCTGGGGTTTCGGAAATGTTCTCTATCTTGACCTGGTTAGTGGTTACATGGGCATATATATATTTGTAAAAATTCACTGACCGTTTTCTGCACTTGGCCACATTTAAGTTACACTGAGACAATATAAACTTTTTCTTATATATTCTTTATTACAGTATTGAGAAGTTTCCACAACAGAGACTAAGACAGAAGGGAAGGGAACAGGACCCAAGCTTTGAAAGAATGACGCAGATACGACTGAAACTAGGCCCACCAGGCCCAAGGTGACAGAAGATACGACTTCCCTAGACTCCAAGCCTCATTTTTTTTTTCTTTTTTTCCCCATCCCGATTCTAAGCCTCATTATACACTCATTGTAATATAACAGCATATGCTAAGTGATACACCACACATGCCATGACAGTTCTGAAGCTGACCATAGAAGGCCAAAAAGTGGGTGGTGGCCCAATTCCTGGAAATTCTCGCTGCTACCCCATTAAGGTTGGAATAATACTCCCAGTTGTTAGCTTATGAAATTATCCCGCCCATAAAAACTAACCACCCCCACACCCACTGGCCACTCTTGCTTTCTGAGATGGTCGCCTTTCTGCCTACGGAATGTGTCTCCCTCTAAATAAACTTACTTTCACTTTATACTATGGCTCACTCTTGAATTCTTTTCTGTGTGAAGCCAAGGACCCTCACTTGGTCTCCCCTCACAGGGACTCATCTGAGGCCTGTGACATGGCCATTCTCTTCCAGACAAGTCTCCTGCAACAAGACTGGGGGATAAGACAGCCATGTTTTCTTCCCCATGAACCCACGTCTACCTCCAGCTACTGCTCTGTCATTTCTGCTCCCCAGTGGATCACCAGCTTTTAGGAACTCCTCTTTCCCTTGGCCCTAGGTTATCACCTCTCCCGATGTTCCTGCTCCTTCTCTGGGACAGTGGTCCTTTCTCTGATTCCTAGTGTGGGAGGCCCAGGGCCCAGTCTCTGCTCAATCTACTCCCTCAGTCTGGATGGTTTCAACAAATCCCCAGGCTTTAAATGCCATCTATGTATTAACAGCTCCAAAATTTAGCATGCTTGTATAGTTATTGATAAAATGACAGGACATCTGAGAGTCTGCTTAAAAGCTTAAAAAATAAAACAGAAACTCCAGGAGAAAGTGTACTTATAAAATTAGAAAGCAGAAAACAGAAGAAATAAAGATAAGTAAAATGGGATGACTGGCCATACTGGATGGTGGGTTTAGAGGAGTTCTTCATACCAGAAAAACTTTTGTGTGTGTTTTTAAAACTCCACAATGAAAAGTCAGTAAAAAATTCTGTATTTCCAAATGCTGGCTTCTCTCTACTGTGACCACTTACTTGGACCAACATGCACCTCAAAGGTAAGCAGCTCAAAGCTTTTCAATTTCCCATCAAGTCTGCTTGTTCCCATCTTCAAAAAGCATCACTCTCCACCCAGTGGGTCAGGCCCAAACCTTCAGGATGACTTTTAACTCATCCCTGATTCATGCTTCCTCTCACACAACCCTCCTCCTGAGTCATCATCCTCTCTCGCCCAGGGAAGGGACAGTGGCTTCCTCATCTCCTGCTACCACTGCTGCCCAGCTGCAGCCCACTCTTCTCACAGCAACCAGCACTGCTTTAACTTTTTTGCATGTACGTAACAGTCTCACAGTTCAGAAATGTAAAAGTCTTAAGAAAACATATATCACAACATGCTGGTCCTTGCTTACAGCCCTCCAAAGGCTTCCTGTTTCACTTAGAAGTAAATTCAAGAGCCTTTACCTATGGCCTACAAGGCCTCATGTAACTTGGCCCTCTCTACAGCTGTATCCCTAAATAATCCTATCCCTATTTCACTATGCTTCAGCCACTCTGGTCAACTTGATAATCCTTGAACAACCAGGTCCGTTCTCACTTTGGAATCTTTAATCTGTTTTTCAGCATCTTCCTGTGGTTCATCCCCTTACCATCTTTCAGGCCTCTGCTCAAATGTCACCTTCTCAGAGGAGCCTTCCTTGACCACCTGTCACTCTCTGTGACCTCTGTCACTCTCGATTCCCTTATCCTGATTTTTCCTTCCAAGTATCTTTTACCTGACATCATCCACCCCACCAAAAGATCTGTTCCAGGAGGGCAGGTGCTCTGTCCTATCACTAAAGCAGTGGTCCCCAACCTTTTTGGCACCAGAGACCAGTTTCGTGGAAGACAGTTTTTCCACAGACAAGGTGGGGTGGTTTGGGAATGATTCAAGCATGTTACATTCATTGCGCACTTGATTTCTATTATTATTACATGAACTCCAGCTCAGATCATCAGGCATTAGATCCCAGAGGTTGGGGACCCCTGCACTACAGGATTTCCACTCTACACCATGTCTGGCAGATGACTAGAGTTCTATAATTCATTCAATAGATATAAACAAATGAATGAAACCAACAGAGAAGTGCCTTGAGAAATGAACAGATCATTTGGCAAAGGGCTCTTAAAATTCCCAGTGCATGTACTCTTTGACCCAGCAATTCTACTTCAGATGAGGTACTCTATTGATAATACTATCACCTACATGCAATCTGATGTACAACAATATTCATTGTGATGAATGTTGGTAATAGCAAAAGTTCAGAAAGAACCTGAATGCTTATCAATGGGCAAATGGTTAAATCCTGCACATGCACACAACTGCATACCATCCTACTAATACCAAAGGCAGCTCTCTGGGTGCTCAATTGTGACTCATAATTAGGCAGGCTGCCCATTGCCTGCAAAAAAATGTGGGCTCACCCTAGAATGAGACAGGCTGCGGTTTGAATCCAGGGATGCCTCCTGGCTACAGGAGCTTCAGTAAGGCCCTTCTTTTCAGACTCATATTCTGCATCTGTTAAACGAGGAAGGGAGGTGGTTACAGTGATGAATATAAACCAGAATGTAGTATACAGTGGGCCCACAGTACAATGCCAAGCCTCTCCTTTTCCTTTAACTCAAATTTCCACCTCTAAGGGTTTCCCAGAGGTGAAACTGGCATGGAGGCTCCTCTGGGGTTGAGAAATTCAGGTAATAAAAACAGATGCAACCTAACAGATGAAGATGCTAAAAAGGGATACTGACAGACATAACACAGAGGTGTCCTGTCAAGTGTATCTCTGCCAAACACCCACAGTCTTCTGGAGAATCCATAAACAACAGGACTCTCAACTCAGTCTGTGTGATGGTTGTTTTCACCCAGACTGTAACAGCCTGGAGAAATAATTCCACCTGCCACCTGTGCTGAGAATATGGCAGCAGGGATGAGGCCTGGAGGGGAGGGGAGCAGTTCAGACTCAGTCACTATCACTGTCATTGTAAACCACAAAATAATAACACAGGGCCACTCTACATGAGTGCTCAGCCCCTCAGGTGTGTCTCACTCTTTGGAACACCATGCAATGTAGCCTGTCAGTCTCTTTCGTCCATAGGATTTTCCCCAGATAAGTTACTAGAGTGTGTTGCCATTTCCTACTCCATTGGGATCTTCCCAACCCAAGGATCAAACCTGTGTCTCCTGCATTGGTAGGTGGATTCTTATTCACTGTGCCACCAGGAAAAGTCCATCTCCATTGTACTTTTTAGTTATTTGGCTGTACTGGGTCTTAGTCGTGGCACTCTGGATCTTTGCTCTTTATCGGGCCATTTGGAAATTTTAGTTGGGGCACATGAACTCTTGGTTGAGGCATGTGGGTTCTAGTTCCCTGACCAGGGATGGAATCCAAGCCCCTTGCATTAGGAGTGCAGAGACTTAGCCACTGGACCACCAGAGAAGTGGTGATCCATCACTCCCTTTTTCCTTCTTTGGCCTTGCAAAGCGGGATGCAGGACCTTTGTTTCCCAAGCAGGGATCCACCCGGTGCCCCCTATACTGGAAGCATGGAGTCTTAACCACTGGACCGCCAGGGAAGTCCTCCACTGTAGAAATGGATGAAAAGGCAGAAAGAACTTGTCCAGGCTCAAGTTCTCAGCTCCAATGCTTTGGTGTAACAGTAGCTTCAGAAGGACACTGGGAAGCGGAGCTCTAGGAATGGAATATGGGAACCAGCGTGGATAAAGACTTTTCTCGTGTACCCCATGGGCTGCTCGAATTTTGTAAAAAAGTACATGTATTCCCCGTCCAAATAGAATTTTTGCATGAAAAGGGGTAAATCCCCCACTCATCTACTTAGCTATGAATACACATACACTTCTTTCTTCTCTTGAAGCATCTATCGTTCTCAAGGATAACCATCCGCTCCAGCTAAGTCGCGGAGCCCTTTGGACCGACTGCGCACGCGCCCTCTGCAGACCGCGCTCTGCCTGGCATTCCTTTTGGGCGCGCACTGGGCTCCGCAGGCAGGCGTTTGAATTTTCGACCTTTAGCACTATTCCTCCTCCACCGTGGCTCGCGAAGGGTTTAATACGGTGGTCTTTTTCTCACCAGTCCGCGTTTCGAATCCCTCAGAATCTGACCTGCCCATGTCTGCTGCCTCATCCCCAGTGGAACTCCAGGAGTCCAAGCCAGTCTGGCTGGACCTTTCTTCCCAGGTTCCCTCGCCTGGAATATCCTTGCCCGCCCTTCAAGAACCGCGCCCTTTCCTAAGTGATTTGATTTCCCTACTGTCTCTTTCCACAGGCCGGGATCCCTTCCAGCGTATGCGCCAGGTCTGATTCATTCCTATGTTCTCAACACTCAGTCAGTCCAGGACACTTAAATTCTCCCTCGCTGTCTCAGCTCACAGCGTCTCGCCTACTCTGCTGAGGAAGGACTAAAGTCCTAAAAGTCTCTGGCGCCACCCCCCACTCAGCCCCAGCGTCTCCGCAAGCCTACGCATGCTCCCTGCGACGCGCACGCGCACTAAAGCAGAATCCGCGAGCCTGTTGAGGCCAACCACCTCCATCGACGCATGCTCAGTCTGGCGCTCACGCTCGATTCTCGCGCGCCCAGCCCGCGGCGCATGCGTAGGGTCGGCAGCCCGCGAGACCTGGTTTCAGTTTGGCCTCGCGATATTTCATCCAGCTGTTCCTCCCTCCGGCTGGCCTTCCTTCGGTGCTGCTTCCGGGATGCCCTGACCTGTCCTAGGTTGACCGGTACCGGTTCTCTTAATTCTCTCCTGCGACGCTCCTGGGCCCCCAGACTACATTTACAGACGCCTACTCTGCTGAGGAAGGACTAAAGTCCTAAAAGTCTCTGGCGCCACCCCCCACTCAGCCCCAGCGTCTTCGCAAGCCTACGCATGCTCCCTGCGACGCGCACGCGCACTAAAGCAGAATCCGCGAGCCTGTTGAGGCCAACCACCTCCATCGACGCATGCTCAGTCTGGCGCTCACGCTCGATTCTCGCGCGCCCAGCCCGCGGCGCATGCGTAGGGTCGGCAGCCCGCGAGACCTGGTTTCAGTTTGGCCTCGCGATATTTCATCCAGCTGTTCCTCCCTCCGGCTGGCCTTCCTTCGGTGCTGCTTCCGGGATGCCCTGACCTGTCCTAGGTTGACCGGTACCGGTTCTCTTAATTCTCTCCTGCGACGCTCCTGGGCCCCCAGACTACATTTACAGCCCGGTGGCTTCTGGTGGACCCTGCTCACCCTTACCCTACCCCATCTCGGAGAGCCCGCTGCGCCCCAGGAACCAATCAGCAGCCGCCTTAGGTAAGAGGCCCACATGTCCGCTCGAGGCGAGCGCCCCTACGGGGGCGGGGCGTGGGGCGTGTTTCGGGGCCCGCCCCTTCCTCGACCGCTAACTGGTTGCTCCGACGCCGGACGGCTGTGTGGAACTGAGTACTCAGTAAAGCGACCCATCAAATGCTGGGTTGGCGGGAGTTTGGTGGAGAGGAGACAGATGATATGTATATGGCAATTTCAGTTCTGGGGGGGGGCATTAATAGTGAAGGCCTGTAAACTAGTGGCAGAGTACTGCGAAATCCCTTTAATAACGTGCAAAGAGATACTTAAGTCCTGGGGACACTCATAGAGGGCCTACAAACGAATCCTCGACTTTTGTCTTCCAAATGACAACAGAAACTGTGTAAAAAGTAATTTCAGTTCTGGGGTTCTCCCATGGGAGGCTTCTAAACAGATTCATAATTATGAGGACGTCCCCTGAGTAAAACATTCTATACTCAAGTTCCAGGGGAGACCCCATATAAAAGACTGTACATATATATGTAATTGTTAGAGAGTCTTTTAGAAAAAGTGTGAATAGACTCAAGTACTGGGATGGGGGTGGTGCTTTATACCATAAATGCGGGGTTAGGAATTGAGAGACTCCCCAGACGACTTGCAGATAGACACTTTGATTCTGGGAGATCCCCCAAAAGGGGCGTGTTAAGAGATGCCTAAGTACTGAGGAAGCTCCCCCAAAGAGCCTTAGTTTAATTAAGCTCTTCATTTCTGGGAGGTTGCCTTAAGAGTCCTGTAAATGAGCACAACTGGGCTGGCTTTATACTTTTCTGGGGGGGGGGGGGGGTAGAGTCCCCAGCGGAGAAGGCAGTGGCACCGCACTCCCGTACTCTTGCCTGGAAAATCCCATGGACGGAGGAGCCTGGTAGGCTGCAGTCCATGGGTTCTCTAAGAGTCCAACACAACTGAGCTACTTCACTTTCACTTTCTTGCATTGGAGAAGGAAATGGCAACCCACTCCAGTGTTCTTGCCTGAAGAATCCCAGGGGTGGGGGAGCCTGGTGGGCTGCCGTCTATGGGGTTGCACAGAGTCAGACACGACTGAAGCGACTTAGCAGAGTCCCCAGAGAAGCCTAGAGACAATGTTGCGAGTCCCCCAAATGCTTGTAGGTGAACTCTTAAATTCTGGGGAACTCCCCATCAGGGCTGTAGAATTCACTCAGATACTGTGTAAGTTCCCAGAAGAACATGTATGGGACAAGGGTCCTTCTGGGTTTGTAAACAGACACCTTGTTGCTCAGGCAGAATCCCCGTTGAGACAAGAAAACAGACACTTAAGTGCTGGGAAGGTCTCCAGGATAAAGTGTAAACAGGCCCTTAATTGCACAAGAGGGAGGAGTCCCAATTTCTGAGGGGACTCTTCATGACTGTAAACAGTCATTTAAGTGCTGAATCAGTTTCCATAAGAATCTTTAAACTGGCCTTGCCCTCCTTTGTGTCAGAATGCAGTCTTCCACCTAGTTTGTGGCTGGGGAAGAGGTCATGTAAAGCAGTGGGAGAGGAACTAGACAAAATTACTAGCTAGCAAAATTACTCCTGCATCCAGTAAACAGTTATTTCTGTTCTAGTGAAAGTGTCTCACACAGGGACCTCTTAATGTCACTGTGTAATGGGGTAGGAGGTGGAGCCATTCATAGAATGATTTGAAGGCACCTAAGAGCCAAGCAAAGGTCAGCATACTTTTTCTGTAAAGGTCCAGAGGGTAGTTATTTTAGACTCAGCAGTCTGTCTCGACTGCTCTGCCATTGTATCAAGAAGCCAGCCGTAGACAGTTTATAAATTGATAGATGTGGCTGTATTTCAGTAGAACTATTCCCCAAAGCATAAGGCAGACCACCTGTGGCCCTGCGAGCTATAGCAGTTTGCCTCATAGTCCTGCCAAGAGACATACTCAGAGATTTCCCTGGAATGAGGTGTAAACAGCTGGATAAACTCCCTAGTGACTGATGAAAGAAAGAAAGTGAAGTCACTCAGTCGTGTCTGACTCTTTGTGACCCCATGGACTGTAGCCTACCAGGCTCCTCCGTCCGTGGGATTTTCCAGGCAAGAGTACTGGAGTGGGTTGCCATCTCCTTCTTGAGGGGACCTTCCCGACCCAGGGATCGAACGCAGGTCTCCTGCATTGCAGGCAGACGCTTTACCATCTGAGCCACCAGGGGTAGAGAGTGGGTCATGGAGGTAACCGTATATTTTATAGTGTCTTAGATTAAACCCTGGGGAGAGCTTGGAGTTTGAGGATGGCAGACCATCAGAAGTGGAAGGTAAACACACTGAAAGCAGAGGGACGCCAGATGAAAATGGGTCCTTGAATATTGGAGCCCCCACACCCCCCAAACATTGGCTTATCAGAAGAGTAGTTGTCAAACTGGGAGTCACGTTACAAATATGTTTGGATAGGATTTGCTACACTTTCGGAAAGAGTATGTCCCCATTTGGGGGGCTTCCCTGGTGCCACAGTGGTAAAGAATCTGCCTGCAATGCAGGAGATGAGGGTTCAATCTCTGGGTCAGGAAGATCCCCTGGAGAATTAAATGGCAATCCACTCCATTATTCCTGCCTGGGAAATCCAAAGGATGGAGGAGCCTGGTGGGCTACAGTCCATGGAGTCACAGAAGAGTCCAACACGACCGAGCAACTAAACAACAACAATATCCCATTTTTATGTGACCCTGCTGCTATGTGTTATTATTTATGCTGAGCAAAGTGATTCGTAGTTGGGAATAGTTTTGGCTACAAGAGAAAGAAGGGGATATTATTTGTCTCTGCATCCAGAGATAGCCAATTTAAGGTTAATATTCAATTTAAGGTTAATAGGGAATCTCCAAACCTCGTGTTTTGTTCTGTCCTGCCTTCTTTCCATTCAGTTGCCTCACAGGACAAAATATCTGCTTGAGCTCCAACCTCCACACCCACATTCCTTTCAGCTAGGAGGAGAAGGGGATAAAAGGCATGTGCCAGCATCTGTGAAGAAAAGTTTCCCAATGCTGCCAAAACACACTTCTAGTGTCACACCGTTGACCAGAAAGAACTTAGTCACATGGCCACACCTAACTGTAGACCAGCCTGAGAAGTGTATCCTGGATAACCATGTACCCACCTCAGAACTGTGGGTTTTATTTCCTTGAAAGAAGTGAAGAATGGATATTGGAGCCCACTGACGGTCCCTGCCGCAGCCACAGAGCTCTCTTGAAAGGATGTGCTTTCTTATAGTCCAGGGTAAGCCAGATAGAGTGAGGAGAGACTCTTCACCCTGGAGTCAACCTCATTCTCCCCACAGGTGACCATGTCTGAGTCTGGGCACAGTCAACCGGGGCTCTATGGGATAGAGAGGCGGCGGCGCTGGAAGGAGCCAGGCCCTGGCGGCCCCCAGAATCTCTCCGGACCCGGAGGTCGGGAGAGGGACTACATTGCACCCTGGGAAAGAGAGAGACGGGTGAGTGTCTGGGTCCAAGGGCAGCATTCATGCGTCCATTCATTCCACAAAGGTTTATTGAGCGCCTGCTGTGTGCCAGGGAGGTATCTGTGGACAAGACGAACGGTCCTCAGAGGATGATAAAGGGACTGTCTTAGATGAAGTGGTCAGAGGAAGCTTCTTTGAAGAGCTGACTCGTGAGCAGAGACCTGAGGTGAGAGGACAAGCCCTGACAGAGTCTGAGTGAAGAGCCTTGAAAACAGGAAAACAACCAGTGCGAACGCCCTGAGGCCTTAATCTGGTGCATTCAGAGAGGAGCCTGGGGGCACCAGTGGCTGCTTGGATGAAAAAGGGAAAGCCATAGAAGATGAGGTCAGAGGTCAGTGGGGCCAGGCCATGTGGGACCTGCTTGGCCTTGGGAGGCACTTTGGATCTCACTGAGGGAGATTGGCGTTGGAGTGGAGCTGGGAGGTGCCAGAGCTCCTGTCTTCCAGAGCTGTGTAATCACAGAGGCCGTTTGTTTGCTGAGCAGTGTGCTGGCGCTGTGCAAAGTGCTTTCCGCCCGTGGTTCTTCCTGAACTCCTGCAGCTCCCCTGTGAAGTGGAGCCTACATTCCACCTGATTGTCACTAAGGAGGAAATGAGTCTCAGAGGGGAAGGGACACCCCCAAAGTCACAGGTCAATAACCTTTGGGGCCAGGACTCGAACCCACATCCAAGGGAGCCTAGGGCATAGCACCCTCGTGCCCACTGTAGAGACTGTCCTCTCCTGGGAATCAGGACTTGGGAACTTCGGCCTGGGCCCCGTCCCACCCTGCTCCTCTTACTGCCAGAACCCATACCCCTGGGTTCTTTCTCCAGCACCCTGTCCACCTCTGAGGGCTGTTTGTGGGGAGGTGGAAGAAGGTAACAGTTGGGACAGTTTTTGAGCCATAAAATGGTAGACACGAAGGAAATTTCTTCACAGTGAGCTTGGCTCTTGCTCCTTCTCTTGGGTCTCAGTGTAAGGGGGAACAACAGTCTCCCTTCCACACGCATCCTTCTGGGGAGCGTTACCATCTTCCTGCACTGTCAGCTTCAGTCCCTGAACAGGCAACTCCCAGATCTCTGGTCTGTGACTCTGACTTCGCTGCTTAGCCCCAGCAGCCTGCTAACTGGCCAGTGGACTCCTCACAGCTGCCACATCTCCTGCTGACCCTAGTGTCTTCCTGCCATTTCTCTTCCTCTCAGGATCACTGACAGCCCATCAGGCCTCATCCTGGACACTCCCCACTCCCACCTTCCCTGCACCAGTTGCTGTACAAGGTGCCTCCTGACTATATCTCCAATCCATCATCATCTCTCCACCCTCGCCTCTTTTTTATTTTAATATTCATTTATTTGTTTGTTTGTTTAATTACTTGGCTGCATCAGGTCTTAGTTGCAACATATGGGATCTTTACTTGTGGCGTGCAGTCTTGAAAGCCCAAGGGCTCCATAGTTGCAGCATTTGGGTTTAGTTGCCAACCAGGGATCAAACCTGCGTTCCCTGCATGGGAAGGCAGATTCTTAACCACTGGTCCCCCACGGACATCCCCCTCACCTGTTCTTTCCAAAGCACTTTGATATCCTTTGGTTTGTCCGTTGTAGGCCAGTGAGTGAGCAGGCTTTAAATGTGTCCTCAGTATGTGGGTGAAGAAACAGACCCAGTGAGTGGTCTAGACCCTCCCAAGGTTACTCAGGGCTGCCAGGAAGGAACAGGACTCTAACCCAGGTCTCTCCCCTTTCTTAGATGGATTGGGGGTGAGTCAGAGGCCGGAAGAGGGCAAGGTGTGGGAGTCAGCTCACAGGTCTAGGGAGGAGAAGGGGACTGCACAGCTGTCAGATAGCAGCTCTAGGTAGCTTGCTCCTGCTGTGTGCATGATGCCACGTGGATGGTTGGGGAGTCCTGTCTACTCTCAGCCTCTTAACAGTCCTCTGAGGAAGGAATTCCTGTCCCCATTCACCAGATGAGCACACAGGCCTAAGTGAGGGTGGTTCCTGGTCCAAGTCCATACAACCAACAAAAGCCAGGGCCAAGTTGAACACAGTTCCTTCTCCTGAGCGCCAGCTCCTCCCACCCAGGGTTGTCCAGCGGAGCAGCTGGCAGCGTGGTTCTGGAGCCGGATCCAGACTGGGACTTGGCTCCGACACTTAATGGCTGTGTGGCCTTGGGCGAGCCGGTTAACCTCTCTGGATCTCAGTTACTTTATTCGATACTTGGGGCTCAAGGTACCTCTCTGACAGCGCTCTCTAGGATAGGAGGGGTTCATGTCTGAAGGCATTTTAGAGTGGCACTTGGCACTTCACGGAGTGTCCAGGGTGTCATTCCTGAGTAACTGCCCTCCCTCACCACAGGATGGCAGCGAAGAGACCAGCACAGCGGTCATGCAGAAAACCCCCATCATCCTGTCAAAACCTCCAGCAGAGCGGGTGAGCAGGGCAGACTCTTTCTTTGGAAGGGGAGGCTGGGAGTAGCCAGAACAAGGATCTCTCCCACTGACCAGCACCTTCTCGCTCCCGCAGTCAAAGCAGCCCCTGCCTCCAGCAGCCCCTGCTGCCCCGCCTGCCCCAGCCCCTCTGGAGAAGCCCATTGTGCTCATGAAGCCCCGGGAGGAGGGGAAAGGGCCAGCGGCCACAACGAGTGCCTCAACCCCCGAGGGCACTGCCCCACCACCCCCAGCGGCCCCCGTGCCACCCAAGGGGGAGAAGGAGGGGCAGAGGCCCACACAGCCTGTGTACCAGATCCAGAACCGGGGCATGGGCACTGCCGCCCCAACAGCCATGGACCGTGAGTTGGGGGCCGGGTGGGATCTGGTTGGGAGCCGACACCCCCTTGCACAGAACCTCAGCACATCCTCTGTCTCCTGCTTTCTCTTGCCTGCAGCTGTCGTGGGCCAAGCCAAACTGTTGCCCCCAGAGCGCATGAAGCACAGCATCAAGTTGGTGGATGACCAGATGAATTGGTGTGACAGTGCCATTGAGGTACTGGGAGGCTGGGCAACTCTCCCTGTTCGAGCTTCTCTGGGTTGCACCCTCCCCTCCCCGGTGCCCTCCACTTTCACCCTCTTGGCAGGCAACACCAGCCTCGACGGCTTTTGGGCAGTGGCAGCAGTGAGAGGGGTTCCCCGGTGGCTCAGCTGGTAAAGAACTTGCCAACCAGTGCAGGAGACAGAAGACTCAGATTCCATCCCTGGGTTGGGAAGATCCCCTGGAGAAGGAAATGGCAACCCACTCCAGTATTCTTGCCTGGAAAATTCCAGGGAAAGAGGAGTCTGGCAGGCTACACTCCATGGGGTCATTCAGTTCAGTTCAGTCGCTCAGTCATGTCCGACTCTCTGCAACACCATGAATCGCAGCATGCCAGGCCTCCCTGTCCGTCACCAACTCCCGGAGTCCACCCAAACCCATGTCCATCGAGTCGATGATGCCATCCAACCATCTCATCCTCTGTCGTCCCCTTCTCCTCCTGCCCTCAATCTTTTCCAGCATCAGGGTCTTTTCCAATGAGTCAGCTTTTCNCCTCCACTTTCACCCTCTTGGCAGGCAACACCAGCCTCGACGGCTTTTGGGCAGTGGCAGCAGTGAGAGGGGTTCCCCGGTGGCTCAGCTGGTAAAGAACTTGCCAACCAGTGCAGGAGACAGAAGACTCAGATTCCATCCCTGGGTTGGGAAGATCCCCTGGAGAAGGAAATGGCAACCCACTCCAGTATTCTTGCCTGGAAAATTCCAGGGAAAGAGGAGTCTGGCAGGCTACAGTCCTTGGGGTCATAAAGAGTCAGAAACGACTGAACATGTCCATGCAGCAGTGAGAGGGAAGGGATGAGAGAGTTTTCAACTAGCTGGGTGGAATCTCAATGGCTCAGCTGTGCTGGTTGTTCAGTTACTGAAATACTTTGATACTGGTTGGCCAAGAGGGCTCCGCTAGCACCACAGAGTCCCTGGTCCCTCCTCCCCAATCCCACAGCAGGGCAGCCTCCAGGGCCTGCGCCAGTCCTTCTCCTGATTGGTCGAACCCCGTGCTGGACCAGTGCACACTGGGTTGAGCTTCAACCCTCCGAGGTTCCCCACTCCATCCCAGGAGCCCCCACCCTAGTTCACACCTCACACTCCTGGTCATCATATCTACTTCAGTGTCCCAGTCTTTATTTCCCTTCTTCTGATGTGTTTCCCCCGTGACCTGACACATCACTTCTCTGCTCAGATTCTCCCAGGTGAGCCCCCCTCTCCTTCCCAGCTTGGCCTGAGTAGGACAACGTGCCAGGCCATCTGTTTCCTGGCCCCTGCTGCCTTTTTGGGTCCACTCTCATCTTGTATCAACTGCAGCATGGGGAAAAAAAAAAGATTACTGTCCAGGCCCTGCTGTTGAGCGCTTACCCACAGATCCCCAAATATGGCTCATATAACTGAAGAACTGAATTTGTTGTTTTGTTTCATTTTAATTAAACTTAAGTGGTCACATGTGGTCAGCATCTACAATATTGAATAGCGCCAGCCTTTGATATTCTTCTTTGATGGGTCCAGGGTTCGATCAAATGAATTCTTTTTAATGGCTGAGTAATATTCCATAGTGTATATGTACCACAGCTTCCTTATCCATTCGTCTGCTGATGGGCATCTCGGTTGCTTCCATGTCTCCACAGGACTCATAAATCCCACAGACAAGAGCCAGGGCCCGCCCGGCTCCCCTTCCTGCTCGCTGCTCCCTTTCTCACGCTTTGCCAGTTCTCCCAGCTTTCCTGAAGCCCAGGGTCTGCCAGGTGTTACTCCAGTGTCCTGCAGTTACCAGTTCTGTCTTCCACCTGTCCTTTTGTTCTGAGCCTCTCCCTTCCCGTCCCCAAAGTCAGGTGCCCCTTTTCCACTGTGCTCCAGCCACACTGACTTCATGTTAGCTTCTTGACCAGACAGGCTCTTGTCTACTTTGGAGCTCTCATAAATGTTGTTCTTTGTAGCAGGAACATTCCATGTGTCCCTCCACCACCACCACACATAGAGTTTCTGTGCCCAGATGAGGGGAATTCGGGCCATAAACACTTTTCTTTTATATCTGACAAGGCAGGGGGAGCCACGGAAGTCTGTAGGGCCCCCATTTCCCACGTAAGCAATAGGCAGATTTATGAGGGTTGTGTTCCGGCTTCTTCCCACAGTACCTGTTGGATCAGACCGATGTCCTGGTGGTTGGTGTCCTGGGCCTGCAGGGGACAGGCAAGTCCATGGTCATGTCGTTGTTGTCAGCCAACACTCCGGAGGAGGACCAGAGGTGAGGGGGGCATTGGGTAGGGGTGTGGAAAGCTGTGGGGGAGGTGGACACCCACCTTTATCAGCCGGGCTGTTGCAAGTGGCATCACCAAAGGACTTTGGGAAGTTACTTCCCCTCCCTTAACCTCAGTGTCTTTGTCAGAGGAGGATGATGACAGGCTGGACCACACTCTCATGCAGCTCCAAGGAAACCAGTCCTGTTCCTCCCTCCCTCCCTTACTCCAGGAAATGGTGCAGGGCCAGCCAGGAACTGGGATGGCCCATTCATTAAGTCTAGATTTAGGTCCACCTTGGTCTGAGCCCTGTGCTGGCTGGCTGACCTCGGGCAAGCCCCTTCACCTCTTGGTGTCTCACTTCCTCATCTGTCAAGTAAATTTTCGGAGACAGGATTGGGAAGGCAAACTTTAACATGAACCTGGCACAGGGCAAGTGCTCCCAGGATGTGGCTGTTTTGGCCTGGAAATCAAGAGTGAGGGAAGAGACCTGGAAGAAGGGTGTGGCTTCTAGACTAACCTCTTTCCTGCCTTGTTAGGGAGGATGGGGTATGGTTGTGAAGGTAGAGGATGGAGTTGTGGGAGAGGATGTGGGGGCGGGGGGGAGTTTAGGAACTAGGGCTCCAAACTGAGGGCAAGGAAGAGAGGCAGGGATCGTAAGGAACAGAGTAGGGGATACAGACAGTCTCAATTCAGGAAGAATCAAGATGGGGTGAGCAGGAGTGGTGGCCTTTGGGGATTTCTTTGAAAAAATGTGGGTATGGTTTTTTATGAAACCAATGATTTTGCTGTGGACTCCATGGATGGGCCTCAGGGGTCCATGAACCCTCCAATGGTGTATGTAGGATTTTACATATATCTCCAGCCAGGCTTTTCTTCTAGGGAAAGACGCCGTAGTTCCCAGCAGATCTCAGAGGGGCCCGAGGGAACCCCAGAACGGGTTAAGTTTCCCTATGGTGAGAACATACATCCCCAGACCCAGAACTGCGGGTGCTCTGCCTCCCGGCTGGCTCCATCCTGCTCTTCTCGCTCACGACGTCAGCTCCGATCTGGCACAGCTGCAGCTCTCTTGGCTGGCATTCTTTCCATCTCAGCTTCCACCCCCAGCTCTTGGCTCAGAGTCCTCAGCTAGACTCCTATCAGCCTGACATGTCTTTCTGAGGCAGCTCAGCCTGTGGTGTGGTAGACGTTGTTACCAACTTTTGTCATCAGGTCTCATAAGGTTTTTAAAAATTGTTTATTTTGTATTGGGGTATAGCCAGTTAACAATGTTGTTAGTTTTAGGTGAACAGCAAAGAGACTCAGCCGTACATACACATGTATTCATTCTCCCCAAACCCCCCTCCCATCCAGTGTAGGCTGCCGTGTAACATTGAGCAGAGTTCCGTGTGCTGTACAGTAGGTCCTTGTTGATTGTCTCTTATAAGTATAGCAGTGTGTACATGCTAATCCCAAACGCTCTAACTGTCCCTTCCCCCTGCAAGCATTAGTTCATTCTCTTAAGTCTGTGAGTCTCTTTCTGTTTGTGAGTTCATGTGTATCATTTGCTTTTAGATGCTGCATTTAAAGAATGCCACGGGGTATTTCTGCTTCTCTGTCTGACTGCCTTCAGTCAGTGTGACACTCTCTGGGTCCATCCATTTGCTGCAAATGGCGTCATTTCACTCTTTTGTGGCTGAGTGATATTCCATTGTATATATGTACAGTGTCTTCTTTATCCATCTCTCTGTTGGCGGTCATTTAGGTTGTTTCTGTGTCTTCGGCTTTTGTAAACAGTGCTGCAATGAATATTGGGGTATGTGTATCTTTATGCTATTGTAAACAACGTGGCAGTGATTATTAGGGTGTTGTACATTTTTTTGTTTGGAATTTTTTTTTTTTTGTCACACCACACGTGGCATCTTCATTCCACAGCCAGTGATTGGGCTCCCTGCATTGGAAGCACAGAGTCTCACCACTGGACCACGAAAGAAGTCCAGATCTCATAAGTTTTACCACTAATTATCTTGAGAATAGGCTTCCCAGGTGGCTCAGATGGTAAAGAATCTGCCTGCAATGCAGGAGACCCAGGTTTGATCCCTGGGTCGGGAAGATCCCCTGGAGAAGGAAATGGCAACCCACTCAAGTATTCTTGCATGGAGAATCCCATGGACAGAGGAGGCTGGCGAGCTATAGTCCATGGGGTCTTACAGAGTCAGAACCTTGAGACTTCATCTGCTCCTCTCCTCCTCCACACCCATCTCCTGGCCCAGGCCACTGCCACCTTCCCTGGAGGAGGCCTAACTGGTCTCCCTGCTTCACTTCAATTCAATTAGTATTTACTAGGCACTTTCCATGGGCCAGGCCCTGTTTTCCCCATTGGGGCTACAGCAGTAAAGAAAAACTGGCAGAAATCCCTGTCCTTGTGGAGCTTGCATTTTATTTTATTTTATTATTATTTTTTTTTTTTTTGAGCTTGCATTTTAATGGAGGGGATGGTAAACAAGCACGTTAGATGGTAACTGAACGGGAAAGGGTTATAGGGCGGCGGCGTTGGAGCCAGGTTACCGTTTTAAATCGGGTGGCCCAGGAGACATTTGAGAGCAAGCAGACTTGGGGGAGGGGAGCAGGGAAAGCATTCCAGTCAGGGCAGGAACTAGGCACCGAGACACCCACATCCTCTCCCTGTTGGGGGGAGAGTTTTCAGGTCTGTGTGTCCTGTGCCTGGCCTATGGCGGGCACACTTGGTAATGAAGAGCTGGCAATTTTATATCGCCGTGTGTCAGCCACTCTTCTGAGGGCTTTACGTTTGTTAACCTCACAGTCACCCTGAGAGGTTGAGACTACTGTCTTCTTTTTATAGACGAGGAAACGGAGAAGAAAGATTAAGGAACTTGCTCAAAGCCACAGCCAGCAAGAGGCAGAGCTCGGGTTTGAATCAAGGCAGTCTGGGAGAGTCCTTGCTCTTAAACACCTCAGTCTAGTAATTTTGTTGAGAATTCACAGGTCTACATATGGGTTGGGGTGAAGTCACATGATATAAAACGTAGCACCCAGACAGCAGGGCCACGGATGGAACGCTTTGTAGGCGGGTGGGGAATCAAGTCCCACAGGCATTCACGGCCTCACTCGAGGCGGCAGAGGCCGAGAACCTGACCTCTTCATGACCCCACCTGCTCCTCCGCAGGGCGTATGTTTTCCGGGCCCAGAGTGCTGAAATGAAGGAGCGAGGGGGCAACCAGACCAGTGGCATCGACTTCTTTATTACCCAAGAGCGGATTGTTTTCCTGGACACACAGGTGCCGGCCCCCACCCACCCCACCCCACCCTGCAGCATACCATGTTAAGCTCCTTCCCTGAAAGCGTCTAAGCCACAACTTTGCTTGGGTTCCCCGTGGCTCCGGCCAAGCCGTGGACATGTTTGTGCCTTTGGGCAAGTTGTGTCTCTTCTTGGCCCTTAGTCTCTTCTTGTCAGATTTCATCCCTCTCCCCTCCCATCCGTTGTGTGCAAAGGCGCCTAACTCAGTGCTTCCCAACCTTTTTGGCATTGGGGATCAATTTTGTGGAAGACAATTTTTCCACAGACTGGGTGGTCGGGGGAATGGTTTGGGGATAATTTCTCATAAGGAGCTCACAACCTAGACCCTCGCATGTGAGGTTCACAGTAGGATTTGCGCTCCTATGAGAGTTTAATGCCGCTGCTGATCTGACAGAAGGTAGAGCTCAGGCGGTAATGCGCATAGCGGGGAGCGGCGGTAAAGACAGATGAAGCTTCATTCAGTTGCCTACCGCTCACCTCCGGCTCTGTGGCCTGGTTCCCCCGGGGGTTGGAGACCTCTGCTGTAGCCTATTGGTTAAAAGTGGGGGCCCTGGAGTCAGTCTGAAGCCAGATCTGACCTTAAATTCTTACCAGTTGGGTGACTTTAAGTTTTAAGCTCCCCCAGACACCTCAGTTTGTTCATCTGTGAATGGGGTTGATAGTTGTTTTCAGCTTCATAGGAGGGTTTCAGGGAGTCAGTGGACCAGTCCAGGCAGCGTGCTGGGCCCAGGAGCCATCACATGGGAAAACTTCAGGCACCTGAGTGTCACGGGAGCCGGCCTGTCCTGTGATGCCCAGCAGCTTTCCTCAGCTACTCCGGGTTCCCTGTTCCTCAGCCTGGCATCCAGGGCCCGTATGGCTGGCCTCCCTCCGACGCACCACGGGCTCTCTCCCAAGCTGTGCGACATCAGCCAAGTAGCTTAACATTGCCATTCCTTAGTTTTCTGAAGCAGGATAAACAGCGTTACCTCCTTCAGGGGGTTTCTGTGAGGCGTGAGTGAGTGAACGCAAGGGAAGTCCTGTCAGGGCCTGGCAGGAAGTGGGTTCTCAGTCCTGTTGGCTGTCAGGACTGGCACCACGAGAACACACTCTCTCCCCCTGCTCTGCTCCCTGGCCACTGCCTTCTCCCTGAAGACTCCTCGGGGGCAAGTGCCTCCTCCCAGGAGCCGCTGCCTCTGAGTGGCCACTGGTGCCCATGTGGCCGTCCCAGCCCCGCTCGTGACTGACCACAGTCTGGTTCTCGTGTGCTGTACTCGCTCCCCCACTGCCTGCAGCTCCTCAGGGAGAGGCCCGGCCCACAGCTGGTCTCAAGGAATGTTGGTGGAACAGAGTTCTGGCGCCGCACACATGGATGACGGGAGAGTGGGAAACCTTGCACAAATATGCGGTGAGACCTGTGTGCTAGGACCACCAGCACTCAGAGACACAGTGAAATGGCTGTGGGTGGGGCCAGGACCTCCATGGAGCAGAACAGAAGTTAAGATCCAAACACTGTGGTATTTGAGTTAAGTTTTAGAAAGGGAGCCCTTGGGAAAACCTCTTTCTTAAAGGATTCCACCAAGCGCAATAAGAAATAGATAGCTCAGCCGCTAATTTAGTCTCTTTTCTAAATGGAATGTTCCTTTAAGAAGAGGTGATGAGCTCACCGCTAATTTTTGCACACCCACTGATGCCGTTTTTAAAATCCTCACCAGTCTTCACATTAATCATGGTCATTTGACCTAAGTAATTATCTTAGTGAAATTTTGAAGGCATTTGAAACAACAAAACAAGGGTTTTGTAGGAACATGACTCATTCATGTAGATGTTAGATTTATTAGCCCTGGAAGCATTCTTCTAGGGCAGGCGACACTTGAGAGCAGTGGGGATTTGCAAGAGCTGGGGAAAGTGAAACTGCTTTGAGACTTTTTTCTTTTACCTCCTCTCACTGATTAGCTCTGTACTAATTAGAAGGAAGCTGCCTGTGTTTCCAAACTTACTTTGTCCTGAGAGACGGTGTACTTGCCATCACCAGGTGGAACTTGGGTGACTGTGTCTCCTGGGATCCCTGCTCCCACCCTGACAATCTTCTCTCTTCCTACCCCAGCCCATCCTGAGCCCCTCCATCTTGGACCACCTCATCAACAATGACCGCAAGCTGCCTCCAGAGTACAACCTGCCCCACACCTACGTTGAGATGCAGGTGAGGGAACCGAGCCAGGCCTGGAGACCCGGGGCAGAGAGCTCATGGGTATGGGTTGGCCAGTTCTATTTGCAAAGAGCCCTGGGTACCCCGAGAGCTGGTGGGAGAGGATGGCACCAAGAGTCAGGTCTGACTCTACCCCTCGGAAAAATAACCCCTACCTTGACCTCCACGTCCACCTGTATGACCAGGGGCTGATCATTGCCATCTGGCTCAACCTAGGGACATCCTGGAAGGGAAGTACCAGTGCAGTCTGGACACAAAGTAGGTGCTTATAGGCTCAGAGGCCCTTTTCCTGTGGCCCCCTCAGCTGAGTCCTGAGATCAGGGACCCCATTCTGGACCCTGGGGACCTTCAACTCTGTTGTCCCTTCCTGCCCCCCTCAGTCGCTCCAGATCGCTGCCTTCCTCTTCACGGTCTGCCACGTGGTGATAGTCGTCCAGGACTGGTTCACGGACCTCAGTCTCTACAGGTGAGGAACTGTGGGGGGTGAGCCAGCTGAAGGACGGGCACCCAGACTCAGCGATCTGCCCAGCTCTAACCACTCCCACACGACAGCCAAGGGGGCCCTTTGAAAATATAAGCCAGAGAGCGTCACTGCCACTGACTTCTCTTTCAGCGCACGCACGTAGACTATGCTTGTTACTCCCAGTAAAATCTGAAGTCCTTCCCCTGCGTGGTTTACAAGGTCCAGTGTGATGTGGTCCCGGTCACCGTGTTGACCTTTCCCACCACGTCCCTCACTTCTTCCATCAAGGGTATAGTGGCCCCATAGCTGTTCCTCCTGCTACTTTGAACCTCTGCACTCCTCATCCCTCGGCCAGAAACACTCTCCTCGGGTGCCAGCACCACCCCCCATGTCCTTGAGGTTGACCAGAGGCCTCCCCTGACCTACTGAGTCTCCTGTGACCCTGCCGTGTACTTCTTTGCATTGATGACAAAGTCTTCTTTATGGTCCTTCTCCCTCATTAGAATGTAAGTCCCAGTGCCTCGCACACTGCCTGGCACAAGGTGGACGTTTAACCCTAGTTTGTTGAATGAACAGTGTGCTGAGGAGCTGGCACGTCTGGTTCTTTGAGCCTTGTGGTTCATCTCCTCCAGGCACGGGTGCTGTTCCCGAAGTACCCTGCTGGGCTGGGAAGGGAAGGAGCCAGGATCTGGCAGGAGTGCTGCCTAAAGCAGCTGGAGGTTCCAGAAATGCCCCCGGATAGGACTGGCTCCCATCCGTAGGTCCCAGGAGGTAGCTGTGGGTTGGCCAGCAGCCCTGGGCTCAAGGCCCAGACAGACAGATGGAAGGAACGGGAGCTCGCAGGGAGGGAGAGCCAAGCTGAAGGCAGCAGATGTCCCCAGAGTCAGGCAGCCCTGGGTTTGAATCTTCGTCCTTGTTAGGCGGTGGTTGCTTTTTCCACAGTTCTTGTAAGCAAACGGTGTCTGGCGATGAAGTGAGTTAAAGAATGTAACTGTTCAGCACAGTACCTGGTACATAGTAAGATGTTGACAAGTAGGAGCTTAATGTGTGTGCTAACAACTCTGGGGCTGGAGATAGGCTGAGGGTCTGGCCAACAGTGAAAAAACAATTTTTTGGGAGAGCTAGCTGACATGACTAGATCTAAGTGGCTTCATTTGGAAACATCCCCTCCTCCCACCATTGTCTGTTGGTTCGTTCAGGGAGCAAGTGTATTGGGTGTTGTTTAGGCCAGTCGCTGTCCTTTGCCCTAGGGATACAGATGTGCTCGAACAGATAACACAGGCTGCCCTGGGAAGTTCACATTCTTGGTGGGGTAGGGGGTGTGTTGTGGGCTGACCTGGCCCACGCAGAGCCTCAGTTTTAAGTCAGTGTCTTCAAGGTGGGCTTCCCAGAGTGGGTGAATCACTGGAAATTGTGAGCAACACATTTGCATATGTCTGCATGAGGAGAATAGCCAGAGTTAATCAGACCCCATTATCTCTTATCTCAGGTAATGGGTTTATTTTATTTACTTTTATTGACATATGTTTGGGAAAATTTACTTTAAAATTGCATAAACTGAGAACTTATATTGATGCAAAAACCTGCACAGTTTTATTCCTAATTGTCAAAACTGGGGGCAGCCAGGATGCTGTTCAGTAGATAAATGGACCCGTAAGTTGTAGCACATCCACATGTTGTTCAGCCGCTCAGTCATGTCTGACTCTCTGCGACCCCACAGACTGCACCGCACCAAGCTCCTCTGTCCTCCACTGTCTCCTGGAGTTTGCTCAAATTCGTGTCCCTTGAGTCAGTGATGCTGTCTAACCACATTATTTAGTGTTGAAAAGAGATGCGCTGTCATGCCATGAAAGACATGCAGAAGCTTCAAATGCATATAATTAAGTGCAAGAAGCCAGTTTGAAAAGGCTTCATACTGTACGATTCCAACTCCGTGACATTCTGGAAAAGGCAAACTATGGAGACCAGTGAAAACATCAGTGGCTGCCAGGATTGGGAGGGGAGAGGGGAGCAGAGACAATTTAGGGCCCGAGAAACTACTCAGTGTGATTCCCTGTGGTGTGCTCACATGATTTTTTTTGTTGTTGTTGTTAAAACCCACAGAACAGACAAACAGCAGGAGTGAACCCACATGTAAATCATGGGCTTTGGGTGACAGTGGAGGGTCATCAGGGGATGGGGCAGGCAATCTATGGGGAATCTCTGTATTTTCCACTCAATTTGGCTATGAGTCCAAAGCTCTAAAAATAAAGTCTTCTTCTGGATGGCATGAATTCGTTAAAAAATACATAGCATGTTGATATGGGTCCATGAGTTGGTGTCTAAGGGTTGTCTCTGGATTCCCTAAAATTGTGTGAGGAACATGATGTCTGTGTGGTGCTTTTTCCCACCATGGCTCTCGCTTTAATCAGATCCGCAAAGGGAGCCCCCTCCTTCCCCAGACAGTGGGATACAGAGGGGCAGGTTCTGGAGCACCAACCTCTCACCCAAACTCCCAGGTTCCTCCAGACAGCAGAGATGGTGAAACCCTCCACCCCATCTCCCAGCCACGAGTCCAGCAGCTCATCAGGCTCTGACGAAGGCGCCGAGTACTACCCCCACCTGGGTGAGTGGAGGGTGGGTGAGGGGCAGAAACCCGGGGGGGCACTGGGAGGAGCGCCCGCGAGAGCCGTGAGGAGGCGTCAGAATTGTCTGCCACTGCCTCTGAAGGCCCCCTCAGGCATCAAGGGCACGGCCCCTAAGGCTGACTTCGGCTCCTCGATCAAAATGGGAACCTCATGGGAGCAGGACCTTAGTCTTCCCATATCTGGATTCCTGGCCTGGGGCTCAGGGAGTAAGTGTCAAGTTGGCCTGAGTGGCGCCCTGCACCCTGGCCGTCCTGCCTGGGGCCCCTGCACACATGTCCTTGGCCCACTCTGTCCCTGCCCTGCTCTCCTGCAAAGATCTGGCTCATTTACGATGCTCCAGACAGGCTCTTCCCCATTCTTCCACCTGGCCTGGCCCCTGGTCTTTCTGGCTCAGTCCTGATCACATGCCCACCTACTCTTCATCTTTTCCATCAGACTGGGGCCTTCCTGAGTGCAGAAACCAGATCTAACTTATTTTTCCGGGTCCCCAGCATCAACCAGCATAGAGGCCTGGTACTGAATACTTACCTGTGATCTGGACTCTGGGTCAGGGCGGGTCTTTGGAGTGAGGGGGGGAGTCCACGTGGAGCAGCACCAGCTGCCTCACAGGCTCCACCTCCCCCCCCCCCCCCCGTCTTCCTACAGAATAAAGCTCGCCGGGAGGACTTCTGTCCCCGAAAGCTACGGCAGATGCACCTGATGATCGACCAGCTCATGGCCCACTCCCACCTGCGGTACAAGGGTGAGGGTCTCCCAGCTGCTCCCAAGCTGGCCTGTGGCCCCCTGGCTCCCAATCCAGTCCCATGGCCCCCCGCCCCCCCTCAGACTTAGGAGGGAGGTCAGACATGGTCCCCTGACCCCAACTTGACCACCCAGCACAGACCTCCCTCCCCACCCCCTGGCCCTGGTGCCTGCAGCCTCTCATGGTTCTCTCCGCCAGGTACTCTGTCCATGTTGCAGTGCAATGTCTTCCCTGGGCTCCCGCCTGACTTTCTGGACTCTGAGGTCAATCTGTTCCTGATGCCTTTCATGGACAGCGAGACAGAGAGTGAAACGCCGCCTCGCGCAGGTAGGGTTCCCCCTCGAGGGGATTGGGCCATGGGGTGACACGGGCTGTCCTGGTTTGAGGGTGAGAGAGACTCTCCCGAGCAGAGACATAGGCCTGTCCCTGAGTTGCTCAGACCCTTTCTTGGGAGCGTGTTTCCAAGTCATGGAAGAATGGGGGGACCTGCACTGAGGCTGAACTCAGAGGCACTCCTGGGAGGCCAGGACGCTGTTGATGGGGAGGCCGGCCCTCTCTTGGCAGGCTCCCTCCTCCCCTCCTAACCTCTAATTTTCTAGGACCTGGTTCCAGCCCCCTCTTCTCCCTTCTCCCTGGATACCGAGGCCACCCCAGCTTCCAGTCCTTGGTGAGCAAGCTTCGGAGCCAGGTGATGTCCATGGCCCGGCCGCAGCTGTCACACACGATCCTCACCGAGAAGAACTGGTAAGAGTGCTCGGCAGAGGGAGGGGGTCAGTGTGAGGAGCCCCATGTCGAGGGTCTCAGGGATCTCTCCGCACCTCAGCACCCGTCCTGGAACGTTGATCGCCACCGTCTTGTTGCTGTTCCCTGTGATTTTGAATCCTTATGAGCCGGTAGTATGTAGGTCGCGTTACCCGTTTTACTAGTGGGGGGGGTTAGGCTCAAAGAAAGGAAGTGTTGTGTAGTGAGGTCACATATCTGTAATTAGGTGTCACTTGACTGCAAGGAGTAGGACCAGTGCGCCTGGTCAAGTTCAAGGATTTATTCTAAGACCCTCAGTGCAGAAAGCATAGCAGCACCAGAGAGGAAAGCAGAAAGCCGTCAGGAACCACGGGAGCTGCGTTCTTCAGCTCCCGTGGCTCTCGGGTCGCATCGTCCCCCCCACTTTCCCACCTCTGCCCTCGGGCTTTCTCCATCTGCCCTCACAGAGCCCTGCATCACCTCCCCAGCTTTGACTCTACGTGACTTTCTATGTCCAGAGCCCACAGATCTAGGACTGCCTCGTTTCCAAGAGAAACAAGAACTCGAGAAGTAGCTTTAGCTTGGCTCCCCCGGGTCTGTCCAGTCAGCTGTGGGCAGAAGGGGCAAGGAGTGCGGACACAGCAGGACGCCACTCAGGGTGCAGGGCCTGAGGGATCGGAGCCCTGCCCCTCTTGTTGGTGTGAAGCAGGACCCCGCAGGGGGGAGGGAAGTGGGGCGGTGGTAGGGTTGCGCCGCTGCTGGACGTTGCTGGGGGGCTTCCCTGGTGGCTCAGTGGGAAAGAACACACCTGCCAATGCAGGAGACTCAGGCTCAGCCCCTGGGCCAGGAAGATGCCCTGGAGAAGGAGATGGCAGCCCACTCCAGTATTCTTGCCTGGGAAATCCCATGGACGGAGGAGCCTGCCAGTCTAGTCCATGGGGTCACAAGAGTCGGACACAACTTAGAGACTAATGACAACAAAAGACGTTTCTGATCACCACAAGACTCTGGGGGGCTGAACAGATAGACCCATACCCACGAAGGCCAGCACTGAGGGGAGTGGGAAGCAGTTTGGGCTCACAGCTGGGGGCTTGTGGACTTCAGCCTTGCTTTCCCCCGGGGAGGTGAGGGGCTTGGGCCACCTCACATTCCCCACATCCCAGGCGATGGGGTCAGTCGTGCAGGGCCTGCAGCCAGGGCAGCGCTGACTCTCGACCTCCCCTCACAGGTTCCACTATGCCGCCCGGATCTGGGACGGGGTGAAGAAGTCCTCCGCCCTGGCAGAGTACAGCCGCCTGCTGGCCTGAGGCCAAGGGGAGGAATGTCACACAGAAAACCCCCTTCCGGGCCCCCAGTGGGTAGTGACGGGCTCCCGCATTCTCCCCCCACAGGGTGGAGAAGGGCAGCAGGCCTGATGGACGAGGGACCGCGACTTCCTCGTCTGGAGACACGAGGGGTCCAGGGCCAAGCCCCTACCCTCCAGGGAGCGTTGTTCAGGGGGCGACTGAGATCCAGCCCTGTAGCTGGGCGGGGCAGTCCATCCTCAGCCCCCAGGGCCAGGCAGTGGGAGGAGCCTCCGTGGTCACCAGGAAGCCCCGCTCCGAGCCAGCCTCCCTCTGCAGGGACCAGAGCAGCAGGTCCCTCTGCCCTGACTCCAGGCTCCTGCCTGGAAGGTGAGGCTGCGTCTGGGGAGCTCTTCATCGGAGCGTCTGGTGGTTGGAATAAACACAGTCACACAAGTCTGTTCTCGTGCTCCTCTTCCTCCCCAGCGTGCGGTCCTGGGAATCCCTGAAATTTCTGGTTCCACCCTTTGGGGGCAGGGGAGCCATGGCCTTCCATTGAACTTCCTGTGGGGACACGTCCACTGTAGGTCAGAGTTGTCAGCAAGTATAGCCTCCCGTCTGTGTGTGTCATGGAGAAGAACGTGCAGGGCCCTCGCGTTTCATCTGTTCTCTTGAAGATGGTGCCTGCCTTTGGTGATATGGCCTAGCTAAACACAGTGCCTAATTCAGTACGTTAAAAAGTAGGACAGGTCCCTAGTTAAATACCATACAGAGTCACTCAGTGTCCACAAGGGATTGGTTCCAGGACCCCGAAGATCCCCAAATCGTGACTGCTCAAGTCGCTTAGGTTAGATAGCATAGCATGTGCTTATATCCTCCCATCTACCTAAGTCATCTTCTAGACCGCTTAAAACAGCTAATCCAGTACCAATGCTAATAAATGTAAATACAAGGTAAATTGTATGTAAATAGTTGCCAGCACTTGGTAAAGTCAAGTTTTGCTTTTTTAACTTTCCGGGTCCCCCCCCCCAACTATTTTCAATTCAAGGGTGGTTGAATCGAACATGTGGAACCCTCCAATACAGAGGGCCAACTGCCCTTCCCCTTAGTCAAAACAGGTGCTGCGCTTGTCAAATACTTATACGTTATTAACTTTTAGACATGATGGCTTCCCATATAGATATAGATATATAGATACGTATCTACTCTTTGAGAAATGGCCCCTCCCTTCAAATCCAGAACCTAACCCTCAATTAAATACACCAATCAGTTCATTATAGTACCTGCCCTCCCCAACTCAGTTAAACACAGTACACCATCCTAGTTCAGTGTTTCCCAAAATACTCGGAATTGGTCTGGTCACCACACCCTAATCCCAAACTAGTCCTGATCCTCCAGTGATGCCGCTCCACCCTTCACTTGAGCACTTGGTTCCAGTCTAAGCAGCTTGAGCTGGTCTGCCCAGTCCACCCCCCATGGCACTTTGGTCTCCCTGGCTTCTCCTTGCCCTTGGGCATATCCTGTATACAGTCCTGGTGTGCAGGTCATGGCAACCCCAGGGGGACTGGTCTTTGGAGAAAAAGGTACAACTGAAGAGGGTGAATTGAAGCGATAGTTGCACAGTCTTGTCCGACTCTCTGCGGCCCCATGGGCTGTAGCCTGCCAGGCTCCTCTGTCCATGGAATTCTCCAAGCAAGAATACTGGAGTCGGTTGCCATGCACCTTCCTTCTTCAGGGAATCTTCCCCACCCCCACCGACCCAGGGATCAAACCCAGATCTCCTGCACTGCAGGCGCCACCTGGGAAGCCTGAGAAGGTGGGGGGACAGGGAAGAAAGCAAACCTCTGGCTGAAAGTGGGGAGTCTGCAGACTCAGCAAGTCTGGCTGGAAGACGCAGACTCAGCAGGTCTGGCCGGAAGTCTAAGGGGTACGAGGCCCAGGGCAGGCTCTGGCCTTGCCACACATTGCCCAAGACCTTAGGCGGGACCTCCCTTTGTGACCCCTAAGATTACTGAGAACTGTTCACTGCCCTCTTACAGAAATGTTTCTGAATCTTTTGTCTCATCCCGCCCCCCGCCCCGCCCCCCGACCTGTGTGGTGGACACCCTCCTGACTGCCCTCCCCTGCCAGGCAACTGGCTTTTTCCCTGCCTTGTCACAACTTAGCATGCCCATGTCTGTCCCCTCCCTGCGATTCCCAGGGGACTGCTGGCTGATGCGGAGTTCACTGGAAGAGGGAAAGTGGGGGCCATGGTCAGACAGGGCACAAGACCCAGGGCGCAAAAGCACGAGACAGCACACAGCTCAGTCCAGGACAGTTGGAGCTGGAGTTTCTTCCTTCTCCTCCCCCAACACCCCCCCAGCCTGGACACAGGCAGAGCCTGCAGGCTCCCAGCCCCTCGCTGCCACCTCTGGCTGGCCTAGGTGCCGGGCTGGGACCACTGATCCGATCCATCCGGGAGCCTGCGGTTGGGGCTGTCGAGGGAGGCCTGAACCAGCACACTCTGGGCATCACTGACAGCCGTGTCCAGGGAGGTGCGGAGCATCCAGTAGACGGTGGCGAAGGACAGGCTGCAGGAGGCCAGGGAGCCAAGGATGGGCACGTTGAGGAGCTTCTGGCTGAAGGCCGAGGCATCCCCGGAGGCCTGACCCAGCAGCTCTGCCACCAGCGCCTCGGTGACCTTGGTCTTCGGGCCCTGTAGCACCTGCACGATCTTGTGCAAGGGCTGGCCTGTCTGCTCCGCCAGCCTGACCAGGGATCCCCCGTCCAGGCCGAAGCTGTGGCGGTAACCCTCCAGGGCCTGGGTGAGCATGTATAGGTCACACATCACCTCCGGCAGGCCTGGCACGGGCCTTGGGTTGGCCCCGCAGGCCACCGTGGCCACCAGCCAGATGTGCTGCCTCAGCGAGGCCGCCTTCCGCTCCAGTGTGGGCTTGGAGACGTTGGGCAGGGCCACCAGGAACGCATGCCGCTTTTGACTCTCAAGGTCCCTCACCATCGACTCCTCCAGCAGGCGGAAGTCATACTTGCCCAGGTCGAACATGGACAGCAGGAAGACCTCGGGGTCCCTGAGTCCCTGTGCTGCAGGGGACAAGGGCACCTTGGGTGAGTTTCCCCACGGAGCAGACCCAGGTGTCCTGACAGCTGCCCTTGAGTGGGCAGGGGGGGTTGTTGAGGGGAGAGGGGGGCTGGCAATCTGCGTCTACACAGCTCATGGCTTAAGAGCATCAGCCCTGGAGCCAGGCTGCTTGAGTTCAGATCCCAGCCTCCCTCCCTGTTCCCTGTGTGGCCTCAGGCTAGTTACCACACCTCTCTGGGCTTCCATGTACTTATCTGTAAAACAAGAGCATGGGTGTACCTTCCCCCTAGGGATATCACCGGTGAAATGAGCTGTGAGCATGGTGCCTGGCCTCTGCGGAGCCCCCTGGCCCGCCGCCCCAGGGGTGTGTCAGCATGGGCGTGGGTGCATTGCATTTGCACTGGCCAGTGGGACTTCACAGGTGGCGCTAGTGGCAAAGAACCCGCCTGCCATTGTGAGATGTAAGAGACTGAGGGTTCGATCCCTGGGTTGGGAAGATCTCCTGGAGGAGGGCATGGCAACCCACGCCAGGACTCTTGCCTGGAGAAGCCCCATGGACAGAGGAGCCTGGCAAGCTACAGTCCATGGGGTCACAAAGAGTCGAACACAACTGAGCGATTTAGCACGCGCACACCCTTTCTTTTCTTTAATGCAAGTGACTGGTCTCTGTCATCTGTGATTGAAATGGCAGCTGTAAGCGGCATTTCACCAACAGGGGCTGCATAACTTGGGTGGCCTTACCCCACCTTGGGCCTCAGTGGGAAGATGCAGGGGAAGTGGGGTAATCCCTCAAGAATCCAGCCCCCCAATCAATGAAAAAATAAATAAAAATAAGATAGATAGGAATTTCCAGGCAGTCTAATGATTAGGACTCAGTGCTTTCACTGCCAAGGGCCTGGGTTCAATCCCTGGTTGGGGAACTAAGATCCTGCAAGCCGCATAATGCGTCCAAAATAAATAAATAACCCAGCCCACCAGAGCCTGCCCCTCACCCTCCAGCCGCTGCACACAGTCGTCCCGGATCTGGTTGAGCACCCTCTCCTCCGAGAAGGAGCTGGGGCGGCGGCTGCGGGAGGCTGCGATGTCCACATCCACCTTGGAGCAAATATAGTAGAAGCGCTTGCCCTGTCGCAGGATCTCGCGAGCCAGCTCGGTGAGGTCGGCGGTGGAGCTCTCCGAGGTAATGATGAGGAAGAAGTCATACCGGAAGAGCTGTACCCGCTGGAAGTATTTGTCAGCCCGGAAGGCGGGGGTGCCGACACCCGGCAGGTCCCAGAAGACAACATTGGGGTACTTGGGATGTGGGTATGGTGTGGGGTCCATGGTCATTTCCACCACGCCCGTGCGGGCTGAGTTGGGGTCCTCGTCCCCCAGCCCCCGGATGGCATTGACGAAGGTGGACTTGCCTGAGCCCATCCCCCCGGTGACACCGATGTCCAGCCGGACATTCTCCAGAGAATGAAGCGTAGATTGTAACTTGGCAGCGACTGCTGGCAGGTCCCCCGCCTCAAAGGCCTCCTTCAGGGCCCTGGTGTCCTTTGAGAGCTCCAGGATCTTGCACTGGCTGAGTCGTGATTGGAAGACCTCTCTGGCCATGGGCTGCCTGACCCCCAGTTCTCCGTCTTCAGGACTTGATGACCTTGGACAGGGACGGGAAGGGAGTATTTTCGCTCTGAGTTGCCCTATCTTCTCTACATCCCTCAGCTTGCCCAGAGTATTTGTGGCATCACCAGTAATAGCGCTGAGGGTGTTACAAGATGCCAGGTCTGGTGCTAAGCGCTTTATTTTAGTTCACATTTACTCATCACCGCCAGCTTCTCCTGAAGTACCCACAAATCCTCAAACCAGCCGGAGAAGTTTCCCTCCCTTGTTATCCACATTTGGCATTGAGAAAATAAATGAGGCCCAAGGTCCTCCAGCTAATGCGTGGGAAAACAGAATGGGGCTAAGGTCTTCTGGCCCTAGAATTCAAAGTCTTAACTTTGAGGAAGGGGGCAGGGGTTTTACCATGCACCCAGCACCAGGATTAAGAGCTGGAACCTCCATCACTGGTAGTCATAACTAGGGTTTATTTGAGGTTTACTCGGGGCCACCCACTGTTCTAACCACATTCACGATTTTGTCAAGTCTGTATGATGGACGGGGAAGCCAGCTCACATCCTGGGATTGTGTGACTGGTCCCAGCTGTGCCAGGGATTTGTAGGGGTGACACCAGCCAAGTCACAGCCCCTTCAGGGCTTTTATTTTCCCCTCTGTGAAGGGTGGAGGTGCCAGTTTCCTCACCTGTGGAATGGAAAGATGACTCCTCAGAACCGTCCAAACCCTACTGTTTTAGGAAGACTTGGGGTCTTACTGCTGACGAGGTTCAGGCAGAGGCCAGCTTGGGAAGGGCGGGGAGCGTCTGGCTGCACTTGATCGTTATCTGTAGGTAGCCGTGGGAGGATTCTGAGCAGGGAAGGAAGAGTCCCACTGGGGAGGTTAGCAAGAGCCCTCCTGGGAATTCCTTGACGGTCCAGTGGTTAGGACACCACGCTTTCACTGCCAAGGGCCCAGGTTCAATCCCTGGCTGGGGAACTAAGATCCCACAAGTCTCGTGGTGAAGCCAGTAATTTTTTCCAAAGAGCCCTCCATGACCTTACAGTGCAGGAGACAGGCCTGGGAGACAAGGGGAGGAGCGGGGGCAGGACCTGGGTGGGCAGGGCCCAGAGCTGGAACAGGGGCTGGGGGTGGAGATGGGGAAGGGAGAGAGAGGGGCAGAAGGGGCAGGACAGAATGAGGCCACCAGCTGGAAGCAGGGGACAGTGGTTACCCAGGCTGTCTCTTTTAACCTCAGGCCCATTATATTGAAAGCATGCCCACCCTTTCCATCTCAGTCACTTGGGGCCAGTGAGTCCGAGGGTCCACAGGTATAGGGATGTGGGCTGTGCCTTTTGAGAATGGATTTGAAAGAGACCACCTTTCTCATGCATCTGAGAAATCCCTACTGTGGGGATTTCCCCCTGGGGGTCTGGAATATCCCTACCATGATCCTTTGTACCCTCTTTGGTGCAGAAAGGTCCATGTGAACCCCAAATAGTCCTTGCAGAGCCAATGGGAGGCCTGGGAAGACAGGAATCTTTTTGCAAAGTACAGAGTTCAGCAAAGAAATTTTAACACCCCAGGTAAAAGTGGACCCTCTTAGTCCATTTCCCAGTGTCAGGGGTAATTTGAGGCCCCTAGATGGGGCTAGAGGAGTTTCCCAGGTGGCGCAGTGGTAAAGAATCTGTCTGCTAATGCAGGAGACGCAGGAGATGTGGGTTCGATCCCTGAGTCAGGAAGATCCCCTGGAGTATGAAATGGCAACCCGCTCCAGTATTCTTGTCTGGAAAACTCCATGAACAGAGGAGCCTGGCAGGCTGCAGCCCATGGGGTCTCAAAGCATCATATATGACTGAGCACACACGCGCGCACACACATATGTATGAGGCTAGAACCATCATCAGGTCCTGGAACAACTCAGGGAGTGTTAGTGAGGCCATCTCCACTGCACCAGAACCACCCTGTGAATTCCTCAAATCCCACCCTTCCCTGGACCCTTGTCTCAGTCCACGGATGCTCTTGGGGCAACCCGTCCTGCCCAAGTGCCCCAGTCTGGTGATTCCTTTTTAAACATGTATGACCCTCAACTCGGCATGTGAGTTTGGGTTTGAGCAGATAAGTGTGTCAGATTCACTTCTGCATCCAGCTGGAGAGCCCAGCACAGAGCGAAGGGCTGTGCCAAGCAGTTGAGGTCCCAGGGTCACCTCACTGTGTTATACACCCTGTGTCTTCTGCACCCAAAGCCTCGTGCAGCTCCAGAAATCCCAACAGGTGCCCTGTCAGACCCACGGCCTTATAGCACCATCCCCAAAATTCATGCCCAGCCACACAGCCAGGCACACACAGACCTGGAACCCCAGTCTCAGCCAATCACTCACAATCTTAGACCCACCCACAACATCCAAATCACCAAGGCTTACCAAGATCCCTCCCAATCAGACACACCAGCAAGCTCATTCCCGCATGCATCCATGTGCAGACACACTGGACATCTTTCTGAAATTAGACCTGTTCCAGGGGGCCGGTGCCGTCCCCGCCTCCTTTCTCCATGGATGCTCATAGAAGCCCCGCCCACCCTCTCACCACCTCCACTCCCATTCTGTTTCCCCAGGTCTGCACAGAGGCCAGTCTGGTGGCCACCTGGCCGCCCCCTCCCTGCTCCCCACCCCCATCACTCACAGGCAGCAGGATGGCTCAGGATGTCCCATCTCCCTGGCATCTGTTTCACCCAGTTGGTTGCTAGGCACTATTGTGCCCAGCCCGGGTACCCATTGGCTGCCCCTCCCCCACCAGAGCCGGCCTTTGGAGTTCTCAGAAAGGGACAAAGACTGCAGGCCCCAGGGCCCATTCAGCCACCCACCTATGTTTGACAGTGGGCTCCTGGCTTGGCTCCCGGCCAGGCTGTCCTGTTGCCCCCAACGCCCCACCTCCACTTGGGGATCAGGGAGAGAGAGGCTTTTTTTTTTTTTTTTTTTTAAAGAGTCCTGCCCACCCCCATCCACACCTTGAACCTCTGCCTCCCGAGATCAATTCCAATCCCGGTTGGGGACTTAGCCTCGGGCCTCCCTCCACCTGCCTCCCTCCGCCTGCCGCACCCGGTCCCCACTCAGCAACTGCATGTCTCATTTTCACCACATTCGGCCTTTTTTGAGTGTTCGGTGGGTTTTCAAAAGGCTTGGTTTGTGGGTGAGGCAGTGGGTAAGGGCTGCACTTTCATTTGTCTTCAGACAAGTCTCGCTTCTTCCAGCTGTCCAGAATGTACTTAATGAGGAGGCCAAGCTTCCGGCGGGTCGAGAGGGGGGCTTCCTCCCTGCTCCCCTCCCCGGATCCCCGCTTCTCCACACAGCTGTCACCAGCCGCCTCCAGGCTGACATCGGGCTGAGGGTCCTCCTCCTCCTCCTCCAGGGCCTTGATGCGGACGCGCTGGGCATCCTCGGCCATCTCGTTGAGGCAGCCCTGAAGCATGGTGTAGACAGTGCCGAAGCTGATGCCGCCGGCCACCAGGGTCCCGAACACGGGGATACCCTTCTCAAAGGCCCGGGCCACCCTCATGGCACCATCGGACGACTGGGAGTAGAGCCGCAGGACCGTCTCGGGGGAGACCTCGTTGGCCAGCGGGGAGCGGATGACGGAGCGCAGGTCCCCAGCCTGTTTGCCCACCTGCTCGGCCAGCTTGGCCAGCGAGTCGTCGTCCAGGCCGAAGCTGCGGTGGTAGCCGCGCAGCGAGCGGATGAGCAGCGCGTCGTCGTAGGCGGCCGCCAGCCCGGGCACGGGCAGGGCCTGGATGACGCCGGACACCAGGGCCGTCTTGAGCACCTGCTCCTGGAGCATGTCCTTCTTCTTCTGCAGGGCCTCCAGAGAAATGTCCGGCAGTGACAGCAGGCCGGCGTGGCGCCGGTGCGCGGGCAGATCGCGCTCCCAAGTGGACATGAGCAGCGGGAAGTCGTAGCGCGCGGGTGAGAGGTTGGACACGAGGAAGACGCGCGGTTCGTGGACGCCTGCCCCGCGCAGCCGCTCGGCACAGTGCTCGCGGATCTCGTGCAGGACCGCCCCCTCGCTGAAGCCCGAGGGCCGCTGCATGCGCGTGGCCGCCAGGTCCTCGTCCACCTTGGTGCGCACGAAATAGAACTTCTTGCCCTGGCGCAGGATCTCGGAGGCCAGGCGGCTCTCCACGGCGCCGCAGCGGCGGGGCGAGACGAGCAGGAAGAAATCGTAGCGGCCGAAGTCCACCTGCTTCAGGTACTTGTCGGCCGAGCAGCCGGGAGAGCCGGCCCCTGGCAGGTCCCACAGGGTCACGTCTGGAAACTGCGGGTGCGGGTAGGGCGAAGGCTCTATTGTGGTCTCCACCACGCCGGTGAGGGCCGCGTCGGGGTCCTCGGCGCCCAGGCCGCGAAGGGCGTTGATGAGGGACGACTTGCCGGCCCCCGATTCGCCTGTGACGCCCACCTCCAGCCGGGTGCAGTCCGAGGCGGCCAGCAGCTCCCGGAGGCGGGAAGCGGCCTGGGAGATGTCGCCCGACTCGAAGGCGGTGCGCAGGGCCTCCAGCTCTTCCTTGGCCATGAGGATGGTGGTCTCCTCCTGCCCGGACACCGCTGGCAACTTCGAAGTAGCCATGGTGACTGGCGGGTCAGAGGGTGCGGGGGAGTCGGGGAGAGTCACGGACAGATGCGTGGTCCTCAGTGTCTGCAGGGGAGAGAGCAGAAGGGAGCCGCTCAGGCCTCCTGGAACTTGACGTGGGGCAGGGAGAGACACCCCAGGGCTATGAAGGAAGTCTCTCTGGAGCCCCACAGCCCTCTCCTTCTTAAAACAACAACAACAACAACAACGATGACGAAAAACTGGAATACCTTTTAGACAGGAAGTAGGGAGGGGGCTTTGGAGTCTGGTGGCCCCAGGTTCCCATCCCATCTCTGCCACTAACCTGCTGTGTGACCTGGGGCAAAACGAAGCACCTCTCTGAGCCTGTTTGATTCTTTGCATAATGAATGTAATGACTGACCTGCCTTCCGAAGCACTAAGGAGTTTTCGGGATAACCCTAGGAACTCCCACCATTTTATGGGCAGCTTGAGACCCATGCCATCACATGGGGCCCCACATTAAAAGGCCCAGCTCTTCTGGGACTTCCCTGGTGGTCCAGTGGTTAAGAATCCACCTTGCAATGCAGGGGATGGGGTTCGATCCCTGGTTGGGAAACTAAGATCCCACATGCTGCTGGGCAAATAAGGCTGCGTGCCACCACTAGAGAGCCCAATTGACCCGACACACAGCTGGATAAATAAATTTTAAAAATGAAAACAAAAAAAAACCCAGCTCTTGCCTTAACGCTCTTCTGACATTGACTAAAATTCTAAAAATTCGAAGCAAGGGTGCTGCGTTTTCATTTTGGACTGGGTCCTGCAATTTGTATGTAGCCAGGCCTGCAGTGGAAGGGGCTTTAGCTCAGCTCCTGGGCCCAGGCAAAGGGGGCGGTGGATCTCCCGCTGCTGCCTCTTCGGTGATTAGAAGCAGCAAGAAGTGATGGCCAAGGGGACCCAGACCCTGGAGCCGCACTGCCTGGGATTCCATCCGGGCGGGCCCTACCACATACCAGCTGAGACACTGGGGGCAAGTTCCTGACCGCTGCCTCACTTTCCTCATCTTACAGATCAAAGCCATCTGCAATCCTTATAGCAGACCACCTCCTAGAGCTTTTGAGAATGAAATGAGTTCATCCAGTAAAAGCACTTAAAATAGTGCCCGACCCAGTATTTGTCCAGCAGAATCCATTGTGAATTTCACCTCAGAGGCCAAGTACATTTAGTATGGTATTGAGCTGTAATGTAATTTTACTTTGATGTGCATTGTGAATTTCAGCTACACCTAGATAGATGTAAAATGATAATTAAAATAAGTGGGCTGTAGCCCACTTATCTAATGAAATCAGCACCCAGCCACTATTTTGTTGACTAAGAGAAAGTTTAAGTTTACGTTAATTTTTAGGGTCTGATAGAATATCTCATGTGTATTACAGGGGTATTCATATGCTATGTCTTTAAATTTTATTTTCAAAAGCTTAAGGCCCAAATACAAACTTCTCTGGAAAAAAAAGATAGTGCCTGACCCAGAGCAGGTGGTCTGCGCTATCAGCATCATTGTTATCATCATCAGTAATATTCCTGGCTGTGTGACATCCCTGCGCTCTCTGCGCCTCTGCTGTAGCGCCTGCACGCTGGAAGATAACCTTGTCGATGTCGCGGGGCTTCCGTGACCATCATGAACCCCCTCACCTGTCTGTCTCTAGGTCACCTTTGAAGATATTCTTGGGTTCAGCCATGCCCCCACACTGGGTGTCTCCTTAAGCACCCAGCCCTGCTTGGCAGGGCTGGCTAGGCCAAGTCCCCTCCCTCCTCCAGGAGCCTGTCATGGTGGTCTCTCCTGAGATCCGTCCTCCTCACCTGGGAGCGTCCCTGGCCCTCCCTCTTCCCGGTCACACACTCTCCTTGTCTATCGCCTCTAAAATACACTTCCTCGTTGACTTAAGACTCTTCAGAGAACCTTGGGAGAGATGCTCAGGTCAGGGATCAGTATCCCCATCAGATGGAGATGGATTGAGGTTCAGACTAGACAAGAGATGTCCCCACTCAGAGGCACAGTCAAGGCTCAAACCCAGGTCCTTCTGAAGAGCTGCTCTCTCTTCAGTCACGTGTCTTTACCTCCCCTATCTCTCCTCAGCTGCGCCTGGCCCCATCCTCACCCAACCTTCTGCAGGAAGATGGTCCTTGTTCCATTGTTCTGGCCAGGTCTGGTCGCCCCAGATGGAGGCATTTCACCCTGGGGCTCTACCCAGTCCCTCCTGCATCCCGACCCCTAACCCATCTCAGAGTGTGGCCTGGGGAAGAGGAGAAGGGGAATCCTTGGGCTGGTCTCAGTGCAAGGGGCAGAAGGGCCAGTGGCCACTGGGGTGGACCAAGGGGCCTGGGATTGGACAAGGGGAGCTGCCTTCGGGGGCACTCACCTGCCCTGCGGGCTCTCCCTCTCCCCTTAACTCTCTCTGCTGGTGGGGCCTCCTCTCCTGTTAGCACAGGATCAGGGCCTGTTGCTAGGACCCATTATAGTAGCAAACCATAGCTTATTGGTCAGCCAGCCCGGTGCAATAATGTGAGGGTGATGTCAGGGGGCGGGGTCCCGGCCTCCCTGTGGGACCCCGCCTCCAACTGCTCATGGGGCCACCACTGGGTTGCGGTGGGGCCCTTAGCCCCCCTCGCCCCCCACAGGGACCCAGAGAGAGCTTTCTGACACCAAGACTTGTTCACAACCCACCCGTGGTCTCCATCACCCCCAGCACAAAATCCCAGCTCTGGCATCTGAGAATCTGGCTCTGCTCACCATCCCACCCTCTATGTCTCCTCCGTCCTGGGACTCAGTTTCCCAAACAAGTCATTCGCTCTCCCTTCTTTGCACTGTCTACCCGTTCTCCCACCTCACCAAGGGTGGTGTAGGCTCTGTGGGTGGTGATTAAGCTCAGCCAATGCTGGCTGAGTCGGGAGGAAGTGCTGGGGAGAGCCCCATGCGATTTGGCCTGGTCCTGGCTGGGACTGGTGGTCCGTGGGGCAGTGGGCAGTGCCCACACCCCAATTCAATATCTGGTTCCCAGGCTCCCTGACTGGCCTTCCTCCTTCCCTAGCATTTCAACATCCTCTGATGCTGGGAAAGACTAAAGGCAAAAAGAGAAGAGGGTGGCAGAGGATGAGATGGCTAGATAGCATCACTAATTCAATGGACATGAACTTGAGCAAACTCCGGGAGGTAGTGAAGGACAGGGAATCCTGCAGTGCTGCAGTCCATGCGGTCTCAAAGAATCAGACAGGACTGAGCGGCTGAACAACATGAACAACTGTGTACCCTCAGCCCGTCCTTCAAATCCCAGCTCAGGTGCCGACTCTTCTGTAACACTTTCCTCCATTCTCCTGTCTCCCTCTCCTACTTCCTGGAAACCATTTAAAATGGCATTGAGGGGGCTTCCCTGGTTGTCCAGTGGTTAAGACTCCAAAGTCCCCACACAGAGGTCATGGGTTTGAGTCCTGGTCGGGGAAGTAAGATCCTGCATGCTGCATGGCATGACCGAAAAATAAAAATAAGTTTTAAAAAATAAAATGGCATCTTTTAGATGACAAAGAGGGAGATGGAAGCAGGGAGAGATGTGAATGAGAAAAGAAAGTTGAGGGGGGTGGTGGGAGGGAGGTTCAAGAAGGGAAGGATATATGTTCACTTGTAGCTGAGTCACATTGTTGTATAGCAGACATGTACAACATTGTAAAGCGATTATCCTCCAATTTAAAATAAATTTTAAAAAAGAGAAAGAGTTGGGATGGAAAAGAGACTCCCTAAGGAGGAAACAGAGGGAGAGTCAGGTGGGAAGACAGGGATGAGAGACTGAGTCAGAAAACCACCAAAGACACTCTCAGAGGCACAAGTTACAGACAGAACAAAAAAAAATGCAGCCACAGAGATGAGAAGCAAGGCGTGGACCCAGATGCACACAGGGAAGAAACTGAAGGTCTAGAGACCAGGACACAAGAACCCCAGCCTCCTGGGGGATAACTCTGGCTCTCCTCAATTCCAGCCCCCATCTCTGCCCCTTCCAAGCCTCCCTTCCACTCTACGGTCAGGGAATCATTTATGACAGTCTCCACCCTGGCTCTCCTCCCAACCTCCTCTCTGCCCAGGTCGTGTGTCCCACCCTCACTCCCGTTTCCTGGGATCTAGCCAGAGGCCCCCACCACCCAGAGGCTCCTGCTTCCAAGGTGGCGCTAGGGGTAAAGAACCCACCTGCCAATGCAGGAGACATAAGAGATGCAGATTCGATCCCTGGGTCAGGAAGATTCCCTGGAGGAGGGCATGGCAACCCACTCCAGTATTCTTGCCCGGGAAGTCCCATGGACAAAGGAGCCTGGCAGACTACAGTCCATGGGGTTGCAAAGAGTCAGACATGACTGAGCAACTTAGCACACACACAGCCAGAGGCCCTGGCTACTCAAAGTGTTTTGCTGACAATCTGAAGCTCAATTCTGGAGAGCACCCTCCCAAAGAACAGCTGAGGAAGATGTGGAGGCCCACAAAGGAAAGAGAGGGGACTTCCAAAGAAAAAAAGAAAGGGAAGAGACTAATTCAAGACCACATCGAGAATGGGAAAAGGGTAATCTGCTGACTACACTCAGTTCTTAAACCACAGGCGAGAGAGAAATGCAGGTCAGCACACAAACCCATCCACATCCTCACTGACAGACAGAAACAGAGAAACCAAGAGGTGGAAAAAGATTCTCAGACGTTCCCAGACAGCAAACACATGAACTAAGTTTTCTCCCCGCAAATCCAGACCCAAAGCCCGGTCCAAGAGGGAAAGGAAAGACACAGTGCCTCAAGGACAGAGTCATTACAGACAAGTCCAAAGCAGGCAGACTTACAACAGCCTCGCATACCACACATATGCAGGCGCGCACAGACTAGCAGACCAGAGGAGGCGCAGTCACACTCGCAGACAGCATATTCAGATGGCAGCCCCTGAAACCCTCCACGTCCATTCATTCTGCTCCAGCTCCTAAGCTGTGTGAGCAGCCACAAGCCGGGGTCCCCGAAGTAGATACATCAGGCTCTGCCCTTGGGATCTCCGGGTTGGAGGAAAGGAGGCGAGTGGTCACGGCCGACGGTAACTCTGGACCAAGACCAGGATGCAAGACGCCTGTGCAAATGCATCTAATGCAGGCTGGCACACTGCCAGGGGCACTTCTCCCAGCTCCCGAGAGTGCTAGCCCGTGGGAGGCTGCGCCCATGCCTGTCCGCCAAACCTCCTCTTCTGTCTTCATTCATCAAACACTCAGCACCTCTCCAAGGCCCTGTCCTGGGCTAGATGCTGGGAACACAGCAAAGACCAACACCTCCCCACCCCCGCTGCCCCTCGCCCCTGGCTCTGTTCCCGCAGGAATGATTCATAGTGCAGTTAGAGTGTAACTTGCTCAGTTGTGTCCGACTCTTTGCGATCCCATGGACTGTAGCCAGTCGGGCGCCTCTGTCCATGGAATTCTCCATGCAAGCATACTGGAGTGGGTTGCCATTTCTTCCTCCAGGGGACCTCCCCAACCCAGGGATTAAGCCCGGGTCTCCTGTATTGCCAGCAGATTCTGTACCGTCTGAGCCACAAGGGAAGCCAGTGCAGTGGGGGAGTCAGATGCATCCCCAGGCAATGATGACCCGGAGTGGGCCAGGCTGGGATGGGGAGGGGAGCCCAAAGGACTGTGGGAACACCAAGGGACCACCTGAACTAGCTCAGCAGTCAAGAAGGGCTTCCTGGAGGAACAGGCTCCTGAGCTGAGATCTGAAGGATGAATAGGAGTGAGCCAGATGGTCTGCTAGGAGGTTGCATCACAGCCCTAAGAAACCTAGGCAAAGACCCTGAGTTGAGAGAGACCTCGCATGTGTCTTGTAACTGACTCAGTTGTGTGGTCAACCCACAAACATCTGTGTAGATCTCACCAGTGCCTGTACTGGTCACAAGATGTGACTCACACATCCCTGCTCCTACAGACCTTCCAGGTTGGTGGGGGAGCTATTGTGCTCACATGCTGAAGCCAAATGTTCACTTACGGGACGTTTATGATATACCAGGCATGCATGGACTTCCCTGGTGGCTCAGTGGTAAAAAAAAATCTGGCTGCCAATGCAGGAGATGCAGGTTCAATCCTAGGGTCAGGAAGATCCGCTGGAGAAGGAAATGGCAACCCACTCCAGTATTCTTGCTGGGAAATCCTATGGACAGAGGAGCCTGGTGGGCTACAGTCCATGGGGTTGCAGAGAGTCAGATACGACTTGGCAACTAAACAACAAGGTGTGTGTGAAGCCTGTCAGGTGGAATAGCTCATTTAGCCCAAGCTAAAATTCTGTTCTCCCACCTGTCATCCCAAGATATACACAACACCCAGGAGCTGAGACTGGAATAGAGAGAAAGATAGAGACAAACACACCAATTCATCCTCTCCTGTGGGTTCCCCAGCTCATCCAATCTAAGGTGCCATGGTTGTCAGATGCACCATTTTCTATCCCATTAACAAAATTTAAAAAGTGCTGCCAGTAAAATTATGATGTATTTCCCTATCACTTAAAATGCTTAGGAAATTCCCTGGTGATCCGGTGGTTAAGACATGGCACTTCCACTGGAGCGGGCATGGGTTTGATCCCTGTTGGGGAACTTAGACCCACATCACATCAGGTGGCCAAAAAACAGAAAATAAAATTAAATGTTTATTTTACGCTTACTGCAAGAGCTCTTGGTAGACTTACTTAGAAAATATAGGTTTGTATCTTATACCATCTGTGTGTGCATATAACTAGGAAAATATAAGAGAAATAAGTTAGCTAAGCTGAGCCTGACTCAGCTAAGTTGAGTCACAGACTCTGACTCTGTGGAGTCACTTCTGCTCCAAGCAGTGGATGTCCCCCTTTCTCACACAACACATCTTCTGTCCTTCATGCCAACAGGCACAGCCATGAGGCTATTAAAAGCAGCTCAGTTATGGATAAAGAAGATGTGGTACATATATACAATGGACTACTACTCAGCCATAAAAAGAATGAAATGGTTGCCATTGGCAGCAACATGGATGCAACTAATGATTATCATACTAAGTGAAGTAAGTCAGAAAGAGAAAGGCATATGTTATCACTTATATGTGGAATCTAAAATATGACACAGCCACAACTAAACTGAGCCCATGTACCCTAGAACCTGTGCTCTGCAATAAGAGAAGCCACCTCAATGAGAAGCCTGCTCACTGCAACTAGAGAGTAGCCCCCACTCGCCACAACTAGAGAAAGCCCACGTGCAACAGTGAAGATGCAGTGAAAGTGTCAGTCACGCAGTCGTGTCCGATTCTTTGTGACCCCGTGAACTGTAGCCCTCCAGTCTCCTCCATCCGTGGAATTCTCCAGGCAAGAATGCTGGAGTGGGCTGCCATTCCTTTCTCCAGCGGATCTTCCCGACCCAGGGATCGAAACCGGGTCTCCCACATTGAAGGCAGATTCTTCACCATCTGAGCCACCAGGGAAGTCCAGTGAAGACTCAGCACAGCCATTAAAAAAAAAAAATAAAAATTTTTAAAAGTAGGAAAATATGACACAAATGAGCTTATTTATGAAACAGTAACCTACTCATGGACATAGAGAAGACTTATGGTTGCCCAGGGGGGCAGATGGGAAGGGGATGGAGTGGCAGTCTGGAATCAGCAGATGTAGGTTATTATATGTAGAATGGATAAACAGCAAAGTCCTGCTGGGTAGCACAGGAAACTATATTCAACATCCTGTGATACCTCATACTAGAAAGGAATATTTAAAAAAAAAAATGTGTGTGTGTGTGTGTGTGTGTGTGAGTCACTCAGTCGTGTCCAACTCTTTTCAACCCCACAGACTGTAGCCCGCCAGGCTCCTCTGTCCATGAATTCTCCAGGCAAGAATACTGGAGTGGGGTTGCCATTCCTTCCCCAGGGAATCTTCCCAACCCAGGGATCAAACCCGGGTCTCCTGTATTGCAGGCAGATTCTTTATCACTGAGCCACAAAGGAAGCATGCATATGTGTAAACTGAATCACTTTGCTATATAGCAGAAATTAACACAGCATTGTAAATCCACTATACTTCAAGAAGAAAATAAATTTTAAAAAATGCTCTACCGATAAAATAATGATAACCACGGGGGAGAAATCTCCATGTTCACACCCAGACAATGACAGCTGCGTCACAATGACAGCCTGGCTGTAAGGTGTCATACGCTATGACTCTTCCTGATCTCAGAATTACTAAAGGCAGGGCGGGGGCGGAGGATGAGGGGTGCATCTTAGAATCGATGAAGGTGCTTCCCGAGTGTTGCTCTGTGTCTGCTAGCCCAGGAACACAGCGATGACGCAGATGCTACTTCCTGCAGGGAGGAAGTTTGTGCAATAGACGCTGACTGTGGGCCAAGGCTGTTGTTGGTTGATGGGTCTCACTGGGGTGGCTTCTCTGCTGGGGAGCACAAGCTCTAGGCTGCTTCAGCGGTTGCAGCATGCGGCGTCAGTAGTTTCGGCTCCCCGGCTCTAGAGCACAGGTTCAGTAACTGCGGCACACGGCCTCAGTTGCTCCGAGGTCATGTGGGATCTTCTCGAATCAGGGATCGAACCCATGTGTCCTGCACTGGCAGGCGGATTCTTTACCACTGAGCTACCAGGGAAGCCCCTACCTTCTCTCCATTTGCCGTCATCCTGGGGAAACCTGAAGCTAGCCCCCAAGGATTCATTCATTCATTCAGATAGGTATTGTCTGCCTTCTGGATCTAGACAGAGTTCTGGGTACTGACACACAGGTGAATAAGCCACAGATGACCTTTGTGCTCATGGAGCTTATATTTTTGGAAAGATATAGATAATCAACAAAAGCAAGATAGTGTCCAATAGCAATAAGAAGAGAAGAACAAGGCAGCAAGTGTAAGGGGTGGATTGAGGGGTTGGTGGATTGCCTGCAACTGTGACTGCTGACCACCTCTCCATCTCCTTAGACATACGCCACTCTTCCCCACAAGAGGGGGAGTCTTTGTCCTCTCCGGAATCTGAGCTGACCTTGTAAATTGCTTCAACCAACAGAATGTCTGTATAGGATTGTCTGAGTTTGGGAAATGAAAACAGGAGGAGATATATGAGATTGTTAACATGAGATTCCTGGGATGAGCTTCCCTGGGGAGAGCCTCTGGGGAGGAAAGAGAAAATGCAAAGGGAAAAGGCTTGGTTCAGAAAATTCAAAGCAGGGACATAGGTAGCAAAATTGCCACTTTCGTGTTTGGAGCAGAATTTATCTCAGGTGAGGAGAGAGGAAAGGCAAGCGGCCAGGGAAAGGGCCACAGGAGCTTTCAACTGCTTTGTTAATGCTTTCTGCCTTTTAGCTGAGCCATGAGAAACCCTACCCATTTCTTTATTTGTTTTTGTAGGTTGATTTTGTTTTGTGTTTATTTTTTAATTATTTAAAAAATTGTGTTTGCTTATGTAAGCTTTAACTAATTAATAGTAAAAATTTTACCTTGAACCAGGGACCCACATATATGCCCTTACAGAAAAGTGGAAAATTAAAAGAATTGACAATAAAAAGACCTGAACAATAAAATTCAAGCTTCTGCCTAGGTCAGCCCCACCCCACCCCCAAAGTTCCTTTCTCTTCCTGCAGACTCCAGGATTAGGGTCATTCAATGACTGTTTCCTTCTATGAGCAGTTCCTGACCACCTGCCATGGGCTCCAGCTCAGCCCAGGTGGATCATATCCTGGCCTCGTCCCTGGGGGCCTCTGATCTCACAGAAACACTTCCTTCCTTCCTCATCCCCTCCCTGTCACCCCAGGTCACTCTGCACCCACACATCAGGGCAGGCATCCTCCAGACAGGCCATGTTCGGGAGCAGAAAGAAAGGGACTTTAGTTTATTTTTTAAAATCGTGTATGTTGTTGTTGTTGCTTAGTTGCTAAGTCATGTCCTACTCTTTGCGACCCCACGGGCTGCAGCACGCCAGGCCTCCCTGTCCCTCACTACCTCCTGGAGTTTTGCCCAAGTTTATGTCCATTGAGTTGGTGATGCTATCCAACCACCAATAAACAGTGTGTATTCTTTTTTAAAGCTTTATCTATTTTATTTAATTTTTTGGCTATGCTGGGTCTTTGCTGCTTCAGGCCCACTTTCTCTAGTTGCAGCAAGCAGGTGTGGTGTGCACACCACACTCCTCGTTGTGGTGTGTGCGCTTCTCATTGCCGTGGCTTCAGTAGCTGTGGCGCACTGGCTCAGTTGCTCTGTGGCACGTGCGATCTCCCCAGACCAGGGATGGAACCCGTGTCCCCTGCACTGGTGAGTGGATTCTTAACCACTAGACCACCAGGGAAGCCCGAGAAAGAGATTTTTAGAGTCAAACATGTAACTTGGCTGTGTATCCCAAAGGGCGTTCTCCCTCCCAAGTAATAATAGTAAATGCTCTTGGTTACTTACAAGAAACTCTTTCCACATGTGCTTTTCTGATTTCTGTACACATATCAACTCTTTCAACCCTCACCTCAACTCTTGAGTAGGAAGCATGATCACCCCATTTCACCAATGGAAAAACTGAGGTCTAAGTGCTCGCCCAATGTGACAAAACTAGTAACTGGCTAAGCTGGACTTCCAGCCTAGACAGACTGGTATCAGAGTCCATACTCTTAACCACTGCGCTGGACTCTCTCTTTGATTATGTCTCCTGACTGCAAATTGAACTTTTGACATGATTTTTCTATGAAGACTTTAAAAGAATGTCACTACCCCAGGGGTGAAGTGAGATAGATATCTGAAGGTGAAAGACATTCTGGAACCTTCTGCTAATGGGCAGGGATGGGGGCAGGTCATGCTTGGCTCTCATCAGGCTTTATTTTAGTTAATCCTCCCTCCCAGGAAGGATGGGTAACCCAAAGGGACTTCCCAGCAGTCCAGTGGTTAGGACTTTGCCTTCCATCACCAATGCTTCACAATGTTATGTTGGTTTCTGCTGCACAACAGTCATTCAGCTATAAGTAAACATACATTCCCTTCCCCTTGAGCCTCCTTCCCACCCCTCTAGGTCATCACAGAGCCCCGAGCTGGGCTCCCTGGGCTATGCCGCAACTTCCCACTCGCTATCTGTTTTTCACGTGATAGTGTGTATACGTCAGTCCTCCTCCCCCAATTCATCCACCCTCCCCTTTTCCTTCCAGGTTCATCTCTCCATCTGCATCTCTATTCCTGCCCTGCAAGTAAGTTCGTCTCTCCTGTTTTTCTAGATTCCACATATATGCATGAATATAGGATATTTGTTTTCCTCTTTCTGACTTGCTTCACCAGATCAGAGTTTTGGATGACAAATCCGGCACAGACTGAAAGGTTATAGCCCCCTTAGCGATGGCCTGGGAGAAATGGATGATGGATTATCTTTCCAGACCCGTGACAGAGTAAAGGAAAGAAAGGCAAGAAGAAAGAAAGTGTTTTATGTTTAGCTTAAGGACAAAGTCTTTATCTGGCATCTTGAAGGAGGAAGCAGTCCACCGCAGTGTCAGCTACATCTCTTCCCAGTCAATTTGATTCGGAGGTCTCTAGCATTTTCACAGGATCAGATGCCAGGCAGGTCCATTTCAGCTTCAAAATTTGTGTCCAAGTTTCCAGTGCCCGAAGTTTGGCTGCCGTCCAGGTAATCAGGAAGACCTGGTGTAGTCCCTTCCAAGGAGATCCAAGGGCAGTGGATCCTTTGTTCCTACTGATTGAAACTTCAGTTTGGGGATTAATAGCCAGATATCTGTGGAAACTAGCAGAATTCAGGGGCTTCCCAGGCAGCACAGTGGTAAAACCCGCCTGCCAGTGCAGGAGATGCAAGAGATAAGGGTTTGATCCTTGGGTTCTGAAGATTCCCTGGAGGAGGGCATGGCAACCCACCCCAGTATTCTTGCCTAGAGGATCCCATAGACAGAAGAGCCTGGTGGGCCACAGTGCATGGGGTTGCAAAGATGCTGACCACACACACACGTACACACGCAGAAGAATTTCCAAGATCCAGTTCAGTTTATAGGTATATAATAAAACCTCAGAGACTGTTGACAAGATTAGAATATATACAAAGGTGCAAACATAATTTCTCTCTCTACAGTTGCCCTCATTTTTATCAAAGATACACAGGGAATTCCCTGGTGTTCCAGTGGTTAGGACTAAGCACTTTCACTGCTGGGGCCCCGGGTTCAATCCCTGGATGGGGAACTAAGATCTCACAAGACACACATACATACAAACAAGACCCAAAAACCCACACACAGTTAAAATAAATCTATTTTTATGAAATGTTGCCCGATTGTTGACATAAATATAGCAAGAGCAGTGAATGACCATATATTAACAAGCTCTTTTTAAGACTGCTTTGTTGGAAATTTTTATAAGGAGTCTCAGATTAAATGCTTAGAAAGAACTCCCAAGGCCAGGAAGTCATACCAAAGTTAAAGTCACTCCTTAAAGCTGTCTGGTCATATTTAAGCCTGCGCATATCTCTCTCGACTACAATATTCCAATCAACATCTTGGTAATACAGCCAGTGTTTCTAATTATCCTGTTACTAGAAGAATAATTCTTTTTTGGGTGGGAGGGGAGTGGGTTGCTGCATGGTATGTGGGATTTTAGTTTCCCAACAAGGGATCAAACTCATGCCTTCTGCAGTGGAAGCAGAGTCTTAATCACTGGACCACCAAGGAAGTGCCAAGGAGGACTGATTTTTATTGAACTTATGTAAACAGCTAACTATATTGCCACAAGAATAATGCACAAGGATTTCCAAATTTTGGAGAGATCAAGTAGAAAGAGAAAGTAAATATTTCATTTTTGTTTACAAAGGTATACTTTGCCAAATCGCTATAAGTCATGATAGCTTAAGACAAAAATGTATATGTTAGTCTCTCAGTTGTGTCTGACTCTTTGTGACCCCCATTGACTATAGCCTGCCAGGCTCCTCTCCATGGGATTTTTGCCAGGCAAGAATACTGGAATGGGTTGCCAAGCCCTCCTCCAGGGGATCTTCCTGACCTAGGGATCAAACCCACATCTCCTGATTCTCCTGCCTTGGCAGGTGGGTTCTTTACTGCTTGCACCACCTGGGAAGCCCAGCTGAAGACAAAAGGTTTCCTTAAACTTGAAAAAACAAACACTAAGACATAGTATGGTTTCAAATGAAAAGTGATTTAAAAATTATAATCCTCTCAGTTCTTTAGATCCTATGTGATTAATACTTGTTCTTCTTGAATCCAGTTTTTCCATTAGTTCTGGAAATTCTTACCTAGTTCAGTTTGATGATCTTCAAGTTATCAGAAACCTGTACTTGTGAAAAGCCCTTTCCTTGAATCTCTTTGAATATGAAGTACTTCCACAGGAATGCTTTTATGAAAGCATCAGAATAAAAAAGTAACTGTCTATAAATGACAAAAGGCTTAAAAATGGCAATGGCTAGATATCTGATGAAAATTTAGTACAATGCAATTGACAAGAAAATGCCGTTGTTTCTATGACACACATTTTAAGACAGTAACTAGAATTACAACTGAAAACATTATGCCAGAACATATCAGAATGTTAGGATTTTATACAGTTTCTAGAGCACATATTAATAATATTCACCAATGCAATATAACTAAAGAGCATTTATCATCACTTACTTGACATTGCTTCTCATGTCATTTAACATACCAAAGAAGCCTAGTTAGTTTAAAATTCTGTTTTTAATAAAGAGAACAAATTTTTTGCAATGTTCCAGAGGCCCTCTGGAAATTCCCAAAGTTACTTTAGATCAAAAAGATTTTCTTTAGAATTTGGCTTGGGGGAAGTTTGGCAAAAATATCAAAAGATTTTGGACACTTGACTAAATTGGATCACAGACTATCATGAAATGATAATTATCTACTTTACCAAAGTAACAAAAAGATTTCTAAGGTAAATGTAGACAGTTTCATAGTTCTGAGAAAAACGTAGCTCTTTAAATATTGAGGAGTCTCTGTTTTCCTAAGTAATCAAAGATCTGATTAAGATGACATGAAGCCCAGGAGATAATTTTAATAAAACACAGAATCTTTGCTTTCTAGGCATATTACTTAAAAAGTAAGGGAAATTGATTCACATTTTTGTACAGCAGAAACCAACACAACACTGTAAAGTGATTATCCTCCAATTAAAAATTTTTTTTAAAAGGGAGACCTTTAACAAGCCCCTGTCAGAAGCAGACCCATACTCCAAGAAGCTGTCATTTTAGCAGACGAAAGAAAGTTAAGTTCCAATTTTACACATAAGTACACTATTGATATTAATGCTTATTTAAAAACAAAACTTTATAACAATCTTTTTTTTCAGTCTTATCCAGCTTGATCACACCGTAAGATTTCTTTCCCAGATTCCTTTTCCACACATCTTCAGATTCCTGTGTTCATTTTCATTTCTTTCCCTTTCCAAAATAACCAGCTTTATTTTAAGACAAAATCCCTTTCATTTCCCTCAACAAAATGCATCTCCATAGCTCGTACACTTTTTTATTTTATTTTTTGGCTGCACTGAGTCTTCGTTGCCGCACACGGGCTTTCTCTAGCTGTGGAGAACGGGAGCTATTCTCTAGCTGCGGTGCTCAGGCTTTTTGCAGCGGCTCCTCTTGTTCAGAGCACAGGCTCTGGGGTGCTAGTTGTGGTTCACAGGCCTGGTTGCTCCTCAGCATGTGGGATCTTTCTTCCCAGACCAGGGATGGAACCCGTGTCCCCTGCATTGGCAGGTGGATTCTTAACCACTGGGCCACTAGGGAAGTCCTCTCATACCCTTTCTAACAATAACAACAAACCCATATCTTACTTTTCTTGCATACTGAGTTATTTCCCTTATCATTTCCAGTAGCTTTAATTGCATATATTAATTAGAATTCTTAACCCTTAGCAGGGCTTCCTTTGTGGCTCAGCTGATAAAAGAACCCACCTGCAATGTGGGAGACCTGGGTTCGATCCCTGGGTTGGGAAGATCCCCTGGAGAAGGGAAAGGCTACCCACTCCAGTATTCTGGCCTGGAGAATTCCATGGACTGTATAGTCCATGGGGTTGCAAAGAGTTGGACACAACTGAGCGACTTTCAAAAAACCCTTAGAAACCTCAACTTTTAGTGACTATAAAAGAGTAAAGAATTATGAAGTTTCTTTTCTAATTAGCATTCTGTGGCTTGACAAATTTAGATATACTTTTTATAACTTCCAGAAACATCTTTTCTCATGGAACATTTTCTCAATGTGGCATCAAACATATTTACCAATAAGCCCAAATGTCTAAAGGAAGTCCCAGATGATAAACCTATGCTCAATATTTAGTGTTTCAGTGTTTTATCTTATTTGGAAATGATCTGGATATTCAATGATTTCAGCTTATCTCATTATTTAACTGAACTTAGTTAGCAAAACTAAGGTTTCCAGGTTACCAAAAGATATGGGGGAACTATATTTTGTAAAATTCCCCTTAAAACTTTTTATTCTACTTGCATCTATTTAATTTTGGAGGAGGGAATGGCAACCCACTCCAGTATTCTTGCCTGGGAAATCCCATCGACAGAGAAGCCTGGCGGGCTACAGTCCATGGGGTGGCAAGAGAGTTGGAAACGACTCAGCGACTAAAAAGCAACGACAACTATTTAGATTATTTGTAAAAATTTCTTCAAACCAACTTACTTTTCTTACAAATTTTGTAGCCTGAACTTATTTGACTAATAAACCCAAGTAGAATAAAAGTTGTATGTTTGCATTACACTCCATGTTTGTAATTCTAAGAGATGTCCGTTTTAATCGAACCAACAAACAAAGTAGTTCTAATACTGAATATTTTCCCATATCACATGAATCTGAAAAGCATTTTGGTGATGTTCTACTGTATTTCTTAAAGTTTTATGACTAGTTAATTTATGCAAGCACTTTATTTTCTTTAAGCCAATTCGATAGAATTCTTTTACACATTAATTTTTGTAATGCCATCCAAAGGTAAAAAATACCACACATCTATAACACATTTAGCGACACACATAAGCAGAGACAGATACAGAGACCTTAATAGTTTCACTTTAAAATTTCTGCCATCAATCAGGTACAATAATACAAAACACGCTAGTTATAAAAGGACAGTTGGAACTAGTTCAGCTTATCTTCTCACATGGCTGTAGCTCTCCTCTACCACCCAGGTATATTTTAGCTTAATAGAAAGGGCCTTAAAGAAAATTTATATCAGGGACTTCCCAGGTGGCGCGGTGGATAAGAATCCACCTGCCAGTGCAGGGGACCCGGGTTCGATCTCAGGTACGGGAAGATTCCACAGGCCACAGAGCAGCTAAGCCTGCGCACCACCACTACTGAAGCCCCGGGGCCCTGGAGCCTGTGCTCAGCAACACGAGAAGCCACCGCAATGAGAAGCCCGAGCACCGCACCTGGAGAAAGCCCATGAGCAGCAGTAAAGACTGCGCACAGCCAAAAATAAACCAATCAATAATAATAATAATAAAAGAATCTGTGCTTTCACCGCAGAGGGTGTAAGTTCAATCCCTGGTTCAGTTCAGCTCAGTTCAGTCGCTCAGTTGTGTCTGACTCTCTGTGACCCCATGGACTGTAGCCCACCAGGCTCCTCTGTCCTTGAAATTCTCCAGGCAAGAATGCTAGAGTGGGTTGCCATTTCCTTCTCCAGGGGATTCTCCAGAAATCCAACCAGGGTCTCCTGCATTGCAGGCAGAT